CGTTGCGCGAGTTACGAGTCTACCTACACAGTAACCTGCGTCCTGATTCCAGAAATCCGGCAGACAGGCTCCGAGTCGATGTGCGGCGGCAGCGGCAGCGGTAAACCGTAACGGCAACGGCTTCTGTAATTTCGAAAAGTTGAGGGCCGACGCTGGTGTAACAAGCGTCGATATCCGCCGGGAGGTACACTCCGCAGCCCTGGCCCTGCTTTCATTCACCGCCTCACAAAAGCGGACGACGAGGTGGTTCTATCAGCCCGGCCTTGTCGCTCAGATCCTCGGCGCTCTGATGCATGCTCTCTGGGGCGTGATAAGCTCCGCGTGCGACAGGAAGCATACCCGCGTCCCACCTCAGTTTGCCCAACAATAGGGAGTCAGGGAGAGCTCCAGAGGGAATATTCAGGATGATCCGTAATGGAAGCCCACCCCTGATACCCCAATCAAAGGCAGCAAAGCTAACGTCTTGTATTTGTACTCCGTACTGCCGCTCACCGCAAAAGAACAGGCACAGGCAGCGCGGGGAACAGGATTAGTTCACCCTGCTAAGGAGGCGGTCTATTCCTGAGCCACAGGGACAGCCTGGGTTTTTTCCCCATGTCGCCCTCCCTCGACAATACAGTCAACTAGCGTTTGACCAGCCCTCGGCGGATGGTTTGTCGCTTTCATCCAACAATCCAATGTCGAACCCCCCCCCCCCCCCCTGCTACGGCCTACAGCAGAGCCAACCATGCGACCCAAGTGCCGGGGGTTTGAACCTTGGGCCGTAAGTACACACCTTGCGTGCTTCACATCGCAGACAAGATGCATCTCGTCTTCTCGTCCGCCCGTGAAAGACAAGGAACCAACAGTACAGTGTCAAGGTGCTCTTCTCGCAACTCATCGGAATACATCTGACGGAAGTTATCATACCATCAATCTGGTGCGCATGGTTCTAGCAAGCTCCTTACGGTATCCGGAGCACAGAATTCAGATTGAAAAGAACCTAGACACTGCGGAAGACCCCAAGGCTGATACATGCTGGAGAATGAAGCCCGAAACCCGGGTAATTATTCGAGGTTGATTTTCCGAGACGAGCACAATGTGTCTACGGATACGGCTACATTCATACCTACCTACAGCACTCGATGTAGTTGCCACCGGGGCAGACAAGGCGAGATGGGAGCAAGGGACCGGGATCGGGACGGGACAGATGCCGCTGCGTTGCGCATCAGTGATCACAGGTTTTGGTACGGAGTATTGCGATACGGATCAGAACAGTGACAAGCACTTGATGGACGCGTAGTCGCTACACAGCGGCCATCGATGAAAGTGCAGGTAAATGTTGGCTTTCCTGTTGTAACCTGTTGCGTCCGTTGGCTAATTTTCTTTTGCCTTTTCTTATTTCTGGCGCCCTGCAACTACCCACACCCCAATTCCGAGTTGGCTCCATTTGCTCCAAAAAGTCTCCCTCTCCCAAATCCAGCCCAGTCCCATCGAGGCTCTAGCCTCGTTGCCTCTTGTGAAACCTCTTTTTTTTCCTCTGTTGATCCCTGCCCTCCCGGTCTGGCGCCATCCTTCCCCGAGTCTACCACCCCTTGCCTACTTTTCCTACTCCTTCCATGTCGGTCTGCTGAGTACGTACTCTCTTCGTCCGGTCAAGTGAAGTACCCTCGTACCTTCGGATACTCTCTCCCACGTCTCTTTCACTTTGTGTATGTGTGTGGTGTGTGTGTGTGTGTGTGTGTGTGTGTGTGTGTGTGTGTGCGTGTCTCTCAGTCTCCCTTTCACACACCCACCGCCGACGCACCCGCTCGCTCCGAACCCTATCTCTCCTTGACACCACTGGCCTGCTAACAACGGATTGCGCCTAGGGAATCTCATCCGGGTAGTACCCGTCGCGTAGGTAGTGGCCGAGCCGTGGACGTACCGACTTACACTTACCCACAGTTGTAAGGCGAACACTCATGGCCTTGGGACCGTCATCTCGACATGGGTAAGGGGGCACGCCGCGCCGCACACACACACACGCACACCCCCCGACTGCGCATGTATGGAGAAAAAAGCCCACCGAGTCTTGTCTGGGGGGTTCACCCCTGGATCAGGTACAGGGCTTCTCAGGCCCCACGGCCGTCATGCCGGGCAGTTGGATCCCTTCCCACGACGTGGGACCTTTCGCCGCCGCATCTCCCTGAATCCCTCCCCGGTGGACAAGTGGGAGGATCGTCTTGTTGCTTTTTTGCGCTGGACATGCCATGGTCCATGGTCACCGCCGTTCCAATCTTAGATCTAAAATTTGCTTCCGCGACCCAGGCAATGAATGGTACGGTCCCGGTGGCCTGTCCAACCCAGCTGGGTCTGGTCTGTGTCTGGGGTGGCCCTGGGCTTTGACGTCTCTTGGTCCTCTCATCGTCACCGTCCGCGCTCCCTTCATATTAAGTTGCTTGCTTCCCCAGAGCTTGCTCTTTTTTGTCCCATCTGATACTTTCTTCCATAAGGTAACCCTTCCGCCACGCTGCCTGAATAGCTTTGGTCTCGATCTGCTCTTGTTTTATCTTTGCTTTTCCACCGTTGCTTTTCATGGTTACATCATCAGTCTCGAGCATCAACACGCTTTCCTCCCTTCCACGAGACTAGCAAAACAAATTCTTGCCCACACCGATCTGGACCACCAGCTCCACGATACCGTTTTTCTCCCTCGATTCTTGAGTTTACCGGAGACATTTCATGAACTGCAGTGCTATATATTGCAACATCGCCCACCCATCCCTTGATCCGACAACTTTTAAAACGCCTACCGAATCTCCTCGCGCCTTACACCAATCCAGCTTGTCAACTGCGCATACACCAAGGATCAACCAAGATGAAGAGGTCCGGCTACATGACGGGAGGCCGTCGAGGCGGCTCCTCGGGGAGCATGAAATCCAAGCTTGCACCCTTTCCCACGACACAGATGTTTGTTCTCGGTATGCATGTCCTCGTCCAGCGGTCTTACACGAGTTTACCGCAGGATGGCCGCTAACACGCTCCTCAACCAGCACTCTGCAGGATATGCGAACCGATTGCGTTCATGTCCATCTTCCCTTACGTCTATAAGATGGTCGAACACTTCAACATCACCGAAGACACGAGCAAAATTTCCGTCTACGCCGGCATGATCACATCTGCATTCACTTTGGCCGAGTTTTCGACAGGAGTCGTTTGGGGAAGGCTCAGCGACAAGATTGGTCGCAAGCCTGTTCTTTTGATGGGTCTCTTTGGCACGGCTTTGAGCTCTCTGGTTTTCGGATTTGCCCCCAACTTGACTGTCGCACTCATTGCGCGAGCTCTCGGTGGCTTGTTGAACGGGTATGTCGAGCCCATGAGCTGACTGGTGAAAATTGACTTTTTTGTTCTTGTTTTTTTTGGCTGACTTTGGGCAAAGAAACATTGGTGTCCTGCAAACGACCGTCGCAGAGTTGGTTACGGTCAAGGAGCATCAGCGTAAGTTCGGAAGCCTTCCCCGGTTACAGGTGACAAGCTAACTCTGTCTAGCCCGCGCATACACTATTATGCCCCTAGTTTGGTGTCTTGGGTAAGTTGAGTTTGTGGCGAGCGTACCCCTACTACGCGACTCGCCAGAGTTAATTGACCAGTGTCTGACTGTGCACAGCTCCATCGTCGGACCTGCTCTTGGTGGCTTACTCGCCGAGCCTGTGAAAAGCTACCCTCAGTATTTCAAGGCTGGCACGATCTGGGAGCAATATCCCTTCCTCCTGCCCAACCTTTTCAGCGCCGCCACTGTTTTCTGTGGAGTTGTCATTGGCTTGCTCTTCCTGGAGGAAACTCATGCTGAGAGGAAGAAGAGGAGAGACCCCGGTGTGGAATTGGGAAGGCGCATCATCTCATGGGTGTCGGCTAAGAGCTGTCAAATCCCTGCGCGGAAAGCGGAGAAGCAGGCACTGCTCGACGACGACGACGAACTTCCCGGCTACCGCACGAACGAGAGCTCTCCTCAACTTGTGGGATCCGAGTCTACCATCCCCGAGCCGACTGAAACCCTGGATCTCACAGAGGCATCAATCATTGACGAGATTGCGGAGCAGCCCAAGGTGATCTTCACCAGACCAGTCATCTTGAATATTATCTCCTACGGTATCCTGGCCTTGTAAGTCACCCACCTACGTCTTGAGATCCTGACACTCGCATCAGCATGCTGACTCTCCCACCAGCCACACCATGACCTTCGATCAACTGTTCCCCGTCTTCCTCAGCACCACGCCTCCCCAGAACTCGGATGTTCACCTTCCCTTCAAGTTCGACGGCGGCTTTTCCATGGACACTAAGCGCATCGGCATCATTCTCGCGGTTCAGGGTGTCTACTCCATGATCTCGACCGTGTTCATCTTCCCGTGGGTTACCAGACGCCTCGGCCCCCTCCGACTGTTCAGACTGCTGGCGATTTCGTACTTCTTGCTCTACCTGACGACACCTTACCTGGCTCTCTTGCCTGAGAACCTGCGAATGGTTGGCATCTACATCATGGTTATCTGGAAGTGCACTTTCTCAACCATGGCGTATCCCAGCAATGCGATTTTGCTCACCAACTCGGCACCGAGCCTCATGTCCCTCGGAACAATCAACGGCGTTGCGGCCTCGACAGCGAGCTTGTGCAGAGCTTTCGGACCAACGATCTCGGGTTTCCTATACACTCTTGGTATTCGAACTGGCTACTCAGGACTCGCTTGGTGGACCAGTGGCGCCATCACCATCCTCGGCGCCTTCCTCAGCATGCACCTCACCGAGCCTCGTGGACGCCTTGACGAGCCTACCAGAGACATCGAGACGGCAGTGGAGCCCACCGAGATCGAGGGTCTCCTGGTCCCCATTGAAGACGACGAATACGAGGTCGAGGCCGGCCCCAGCCGGAGATCGTGATCACCACCGTGATCACAGACGTTGACTATCATATCCCTCAAACTCGATACCCCGGAACGGCGCCATGGGACTTGCACAATTTATTTTTTACATCATTATTCAACAATCGGAGTTTTCATCCTACGGCGTTATCATCGACAGGAAGGGACACAACAAGACATAGACTATCGCTCACGGGACACGACGGAAGGAATCAGAGAAAAGAGTTATTAAGATGAAACGATTTATTTCAGACGGGCCGAGGAGAGAGCATATACGTGATTCTCACGACTTGTTACTTTGTTTTATTTCGACCATTTCCATCAGCGGGCTGCATGATTGGATTTTCAGTTCTTGTTCATTTCGACTTTTTCAAACCTTTAGGGAGGCGCTCAACATCACATCATGTATCGGGTCAGGCGACGATCCTCGACCATCTATTTGTTTTTTTTTTTTTTTTTTTTTTTTTTTTTTTTTTGGTATACGGATTATTCTTTTCGGATATGGAGTTGGAGATACCATGGAAGTCCAAGGGAACAACCGACACTGGAAAGAGAGCAGGGAGCGCGAAGAGACAGGAGACAGGAAACCGCACAGGGCGCAACAAGAGAAAAGCGAATGGTATTTGTTTGGGGGGGAATACCACAGCGACCTGACCTACCAAACCAACCCGAGGAAAGAGAGTGGAGGAGCGGGACAGGAATTTTGGCAAGGAAGGGATTTTGACCTGGGGGGAAACTCGATTTGTTCTATGGGGCCTGCCAAGACTTACAAAGGTCTATTGCTCTTGATGTTTTAATGATGGCTTATTTCTTAGAGAATTGATAGGGAACAAACCCTTGACAAACATGCTGTTTTCCTCCTTACTTGACCATGCACTGCGCTGTGACGATTGAAACGGGCTTCCATGACCTGACCAACATACCTGTCTACCGGCCCTGATTCCAAGCCTCATGAGCTTGGAGGCCGTGGTGTTTCTCGGGTGGTTTCTGTTCGATGCCAAGCGAAACATTGGTGACGTACATGCTGTGGTACATGGATTGAGCGTTTTGCTGTATGAGACATGCGTGGGGGGGTGAAGCAAGTACTAACATGCTCTTCTTCTTCTTCTTCTTCTCCTTTTTTTTTGTCTTTGAAGAAACCCGGGGTAAGGTTGGTCTCGAATCCAAATTCGCAGGGTTCAGTGACGCGGTTCCCCGAATGCTATCCCGGTCTCATGATTACAACTAATCCGTACCTAACCCTATATTATACTACTATACTACTACTGCTGTACGATTTCCCGGCCTTGGTTCATCCGAAGGATGAGGCAGTTTGGTACGACGCTCCCCCGGGTTTGTGGGGTGGCGGCGGGATGGTAAGAGAAGGGGGGACTAGAAGAGAAAGAATCGGGATTCAGAGATGGGAGGTTAGGCAGATAGATGATGGTATCGTGAGCGAGGCTAGGTTGGACATTTGTGGGGGTTTCACATGCGCGTGTTGGTCGTCGATATTGGCATCGCTCATTGGATAGGGATCACAAATGGACATTGGGATCTTTTGACAGCCAGAAGGGGATCAAGATTATAGTACGGAGTAATCGATAACGGCGAACGGGTTAGTCGTGACTTGTGATGGATTGGAGAATCCCCGTCAGTTAGCAAAGGTGTACTAAGCCTGTGCTGGACCGTTGGGTACGTTGGCGCTGGGCGTGGGTACGTGAGATACGGTAGACCTCTACGGAGCCGAGGGGACCTCGGTATTGCTATTTGCGGGGGCGAATTAACGGTAGATGACAACGTTGAGAGTTTCGCTTGGCGAGATTGGGGTTTGGTCAATTCAAAACGACGGATCGCAATTGCGCATCTCGACTCTCGAGGGCATCTTGGGGCACACATCGTGAAGTGGGCGGTGGCTTCAAACTCGATTAGTAAGGTGGTACGGATAGTAATCCTAAGGACGTCACAACACCACGACATGGTAAAGGAGGAGACAAGATATGATTCAGATATGAACTCAGCAGAGAGTTAGAGGCGGCGGCCGGTACGGAGGAAGAAGGCGTCTTCTAAAGGGTGTGGCGGTCTCAATCGTAAACGGTCCCGGATTCGACGGAGAGATAAGGGGGGGGGGGGGGGGCGGTTCTTGGTGATAACAGGCACACTCACACAAATGTGTGTAAGAGGGTGAATTGGACCCTCGTAAAAAGGGAACCAATGCCAAGTTTCAAATGAGAGCAAAGCAATTGGCATTTTTAGCTCGCTGGGGGGTGGGTGGCTTGCTTTCGGTTTCCAAGGGCATGGTCAACTGATACCCGGCGGCCATCATGGCCAAGCGAGGGCGCGCCAAAAGGCTCAGGCCGATGCGGCAGCGCGGGATGGAGTTCCCAAACGAGGCATTGCCGGTCAGGATCTCGATGATTGGTGTATTTGGTGTATGTCGTCGTGCGGGGGGCAGACAGGCGGGCAGTCTGCGTACCCTACCTAGATGATGCTCGTACAGAGATGATAGAGAGACTCAGAGAGGGTGAGGGATCATATTCCTTAGTAAGGCACCCAAGGCACCATACGGCGTACGCTGACTTGTTCGCTCGTTCTCGTTTGGGGGTCTTTTGGTGGTTTGGGGGGGGGGGGGGGGGAGAGTGGGGGGGGACGAGAGAGAGACATGAAGATTAATAAGAGAGTTGGTTGTTGGTCGTGTGCCTCGTGCCTTGTGGCTGAAGACTTATCAAGCTCTCTGTTAGGCCCATCAACTCAAGCTGAATGATAGAGGGAATTGGTTAATTGTGAAGAAGAAGGAGGATGATGTTTGTAGGATGCGCAGTCACTTCTCACCTGTGGCTTGACTGAGACTCCTTCAACTTTCTAGTTGTCTCCAGACCTCCACTTTCCGTGCCAGGCGCACCACAAACTAACCGGCCGAGTACGATGGACCCTCCTTCCTGCTTTCCTTATCAGCTGAAGGAAGGAAGGGGAAAAAAAAAGTGCTTAGGTTAACGAAAAGTAATATCGCCGGCTGCAGATTGGTCCCTTCCGATTAGCGCGTCCATCCATCCCGTTTACCTCAGATTGGGGTGCTCTTTGCTCTTGTCATTTCACCGACCGCCTCCCCATAACGTCGCAGTTAGCCCGCCCGCCTCTTTCTTCACCTACCGCTGCGCATATCCTACAGCCCAGCTCGAGTCGAGGTAGCTTGACCTTTGTCGTATGCGGGAATTCCCACCACCGTTGAATCACTTTGTCTCTTTTCCCATCCTTCAAACAAGTTACTGGGCCTGTCTATCTCTCCCTCTCGCTTCTGCAGCATCCCCCCGCCGCCGCCGTCTTCCGCCGTCCGCTCTCCGCCTGTCCCCTGACCGACTCGACATGCGCAGTCCTGACCTGAATCTCGGTCAGAACCCCAACATCCAGAGCGATCCCAGCTGAAGGGTTCTCTCGCTCGCCAATCTGTACATACTTCGTGACCTTCACAGTCCCGATCGCCTTTGCCATTTCCCAGGCCCGTCGCCACTCCGTTGCAGAGAAACCCCCCATCGTCTACGTGTGTCCGGCCTAGAACCGACCCTTGCCTCTAGCGCCGCCTTAGTCCACTGGGATTAGGTAGACGAGACAAGAGGTCCCCTTCTTCCTACCGTCTGTGCCCACTGCCGAATGATGTGTGGAGCTGTCACTGTGCAAGTCGAGATAGCGTCGCGATAACAGGCTGTTTCCAACACTTTTGTATGTCTCAACGACGCCCAGCCTTTCCCACCTTCACTCTCACCTCTTCCTACTCCCGCTCACAACCGCATCTTTCGCCAGTCCTGGCCGAGGGACTTGCGCTCACCTTGAAGTGTACAGGACGGCCTGTGCCTCCTACTCTCTACCTCGTCTAGAGTCGGCTCTATCACCAGCCTCCGACTCACCCCGACCGGCCGGTAGCCGCGCCTCCGGAAGTCAATCCCAACCCTATACTCGTCCCAACCTTCCCCGCTCCGTCTCCTCTTTCCGAAAAGCCGCCTGGTACCGTCCGATTAAGAGACGTTCACCTGACACGATGCCGGCTCACTCACCGCCATCGCCCACCCTCAAGCCGACGAAGCGCCCGCGCCAAGGCTCCTACGATGTCGACGTCTCCCCGCCCCCCTCCGCTGGCATCGACCAGAGCCCGTCAGCAGCCGAACAAAACGATCTGTTGGCCAATGCCGGCGCGGCCCTCACTTCCGCTGAGAAGAACGGAGGAAGCGGAGGAGGCAAAGCAGGCCAGAGCAGCAACTTCCGCAACGTGAGCGCCTGTAACCGCTGTCGCCTACGGAAGAACAGATGCGACCAGCAGCTGCCCAGTTGTGCGAGCTGCGCAAAGGCCGGCGTCGCCTGCGTGGGCTACGACCCCATCACAAAGAAGGAGATTCCCAGAAGGTATAAACCACTTGTCCGTATAGCGTACCTGTGTTTGGAGTTGCTTAGTGCGCGCGCATGTGCGCGCATGTGCGCGCAATAGGCATCACTTCGGTTGTCGATTGAGTGCTAATATTGTGCCTCGTGAAGCTACGTCTTTTATCTCGAAACCCGCGTAGAGCAGCTAGAGGCACTGCTCGCCAACCAAAACATACCTTTTTCACCTGCCGAGAACCTGGAGCTATGCTCACGTCCCGGTGCCGAGATCGCGCAATCGACGACAGACATTGCTCCCTCGGCGCGCTCGGAGAGTATTGATGGGGCCGGGCCAGCGAAGAATAGCATACACCGCCCCGACCTGGAGAAGGCCAAAAAGGCAGAGAGCGGTGGTACGGGAATGCTTGATATCGTCAGCCCATCGAAACCACGATCATTGGCTTCGGCTTCAGGGGTCTCGTTCAATCGTGTGGTCTTCGCCGCCGTGCAGTACTCTGTGTCGGATCACAACGGGACGCAGGACCGAATTGGCGGCAAGGGCTTACCGATTGGCAGCGGGACATCTATGCGCGACTCCTTCTTCGGGCTGCACACGAAACCCACGATCCGGCCGGCAAATTTCCCTGAGAAAGACGTGGGTATGAGGCTTGTGACTCTGTACTTTGAGCACGCGAATCCCCAGATCCCCATTCTGCACCGAGGGGAGTTTATGCAAATGTTCGACCAGGCGTACGCTGATCCCAGTGGGCCAAAGGGAGCTCGAGAGCTGTACATGCTGAACATGGTCTTTGCAATCGGATGTGGTGTGATTGTGGGCGAGCCTGTGAAATCCGAGGGTTCAGGTGCCGGACCGCGCAATCCAGCGGATGCGAACAAGTTTGGCCAGGCACAGCCAGAGGAGTACCATGCGAGCGCCATCGTGCATCTCGAGGCTTGTCTAGGCAATAGCGGCGGTGGGTTGGAGGTATTGCAAGCTGTGCTGCTGTTGGCCAACTTTGCGCTCCTCCGACCTGTTCCTCCTGGTCTGTGGTGAGTTCCGTCCCTGACAAGCCGATCACATTATGAGACACGATGCTGACAAGTTGACAGGTACATCATTGGCGTTGCCGTGCGCTTAGCTGTGGATCTAGGCTTGCACTACGAAGACGGAAGCGACGTAGAACCGGCCATGCGAGATCTGGTCAAGGATGAGAACGGCGAAGTGAACGAAGCGAGGAACGCCCAGTCACGCGAAAGGGGCCGAAGACTGTACATCCGCGACATGAGGCGGAGGCTCTGGTGGTGCACCTACTCCTTGGATCGTCTGGTGAGCACCTGCGTCGGACGACCATTCGGCATCAGCGACCAGGTCATCACAACCGAATTCCCCTCGCTCTTGGACGATCAGTACATCGCATCGACTGGATTTTTGGAGAAGCCCGCCGACTCATCTGAGCCGAGCTACAAGCACGTGGCTTACCACTACTTCAAGCTCCGGCTGTTGCAGTCTGAGATCCTCCAAGTGCTGCAATACAACCAGACACAGGTCGTTCGGGCGTCGGGCCAGAACCTGACCAACTCGGACATGCACACCCACCTGCCATCACCGTTTCTCGTCAAGTTCGACTCCTTCCGCTCGTGGCGCATCGATATCGACCGTAGGCTTTACCAGTGGAAGAACTCGGCCCCGACGCGGGAGGAGACGGGCGTGGCGTTTTCGACCGAGTTCCTGGAGCTCAACTACTGGCAGGCCATCATTATGCTCTACCGCCAGAGTCTGAGCGTGCCCGCCATGTTCGAGGGCGAGTACAACACCTCCAACGAGGTGAACAGCCCGACAGCTTTCCAGGCGGAGTTGCGGGAGGACGAGGACAGAATCTATCTCAAGGTCGCCGAGGCCGGGCAAAAGATCTTGCGTATCTACCGCCAGCTACACTTGAGCGGGCTAGTCAGCTACACGTATCTGTCGACTCATCATCTTTTCATGGCTGGCATATCCTACCTCTACGCCATCTGGCACTCGCCCATTGTCAGAAGCCGACTGGTAAGTTAACTTCTTTGGTTTTGAGATCAATTGGAAAAGCTCTAACGTGCAATGACACAGACAATGGACGAAGTCGACTTCACCATCCTGGCCGCCAAGTCTGTCTTCACTGACCTGATTGACAAGTGCCCACCGGCCGAGACCTGCCGCGACGCATTTGATCGTACCGCAAAGGCCACCATCAAGATGGCCAACTCGACCGGCGGCTTCAACTCGGTGCCCCCGCGCAAGATGCGCGAGAGACAGTTCGAGTGGAGCTCCGCCTCGGGTGACGGGGCATCGACATCGGCTGCGAGCGTCGCACCCCGCCGCCGCCACCAGCAACACCAGTCGTCGGGGCAGGGCAACTTTCAGATGGACCTGGCGCTGTCCGATACCCTTTCGTCTCCGAGTCTCTCCGTCGCTGGCGACCTCCCACCACGCCATTCCCCTCGCGCCACGGACTTCAATATGATGGCCCCCAGCCAGGGCAGCCCTTCGGAAATCGATCCTTCCTTCGTGGCCTCGCCTCCGGTGCCCCGCCGCGTGGCGAATCAGCGGACCAGCAGCGGCGGATCCTTCTTGAATCATCAGCAGCAGCAGCAGCAGGGGTCATCATCGTATGGTGTGGCCGATTACCCAGACATCCAGACCATGGATTTCTTCCAGAGCCTGCAAGGCGGTAACCCCAACGGCGAGCTCGGCGGGTCCGGGGACGTGACGACGCCACAGCTTGACCTGGGATTCGGCATCAACTGGGATAACATGCACCACGACTTCAGTGACGGCCAGCAGATGAACATTTTCGATGGCTTCTTCTTTGGGGGACAGCAGCAGTCACAGGCGCAGCAACAGCAACAGCAACAACAATCCCCGAATCAGCAGCAGGGTCCGAACGGCAACGCGAACGGGCGAAATGGGATGTGAAGAAGATGAGGAAAGCCAACAACGAACGAAAGAAAGAAAGAAAAAAGAGAAAATGGCACGACGCCGGCGGCTTCTTGGAAAGAGATGATTCCACGATGACGCCTCCGTGCTAGAAATGCATTACTAGCCCTTATGATGATACCAACACAAAACAAAAACGGCTGGGAAACGCCAAAATGGAAGGGCTGACGTGTGTGTGTGTGTGTGTGTGTGTGTGCTTAGGCCACGACGCCGGCGGCCTCTGGGATAAATCTCAGTTGACGCCTCCGTGCCGAACACGCCGCCTTCTCTCTTTGAAGGGAAGGATGACGCCAGCCGGACTTCATGACTTGCAGTATAGTATATTTTGTGATGAATCTCAACCCGTACGAAAGATACGGACACAGCCCGGAAAAACGGATCAGAAAAAGCAGGGATGGCAGGCAAGACCTTTTTTTATTTTATATATATTGACGAACCGGATTGGCAAAAAGGGGGGGAAGCAGATCTTTCAAAACACACAACACAAAAGGGACCAACTCGGTGCGGACAGATGTATATTGCGCGGATGGACATATTCAAAAAATGAATGGCGAGAGTGGTTTTCGTGTTGAGATGAAGCTGGGGGAAGGGAGGCTGGTCCCGTGGGCGCAAGGAAAATCTGTTGCTTGCAGTCTGAATTTTGGTATACCCAGAAAAGCGAGTGAGTGGGAGAGAGGGAAAAAGTAGAGGTGAAGTAAGGTAGTGAGTGTAGAGAGAGAGAGAGGAGAGCCAGCGAGACTTTTGCCGATTATACTAAGTCTTCTCGTTGGGTTGAATGAGAAAATGGATCACTTTACGCTTCTTTACTATGCCATCACCAAGTTGATTGTACTCGAAAGTGTTGGATTTACGTATGTTGAGCAACTCATGACCAGCGCCGAATAGGATTAACTTATCATCAATGAACCTCTGCCTCTACTATATCAAAGAACAAAGGAAAAGGGACGGGGGAGGGGGGGTATAACTGAACTAGAACCCACGCCCCTGCCCGGAATCGAACAGCGCGCCCCTCAGTCAACCCGAAATCTGACTTCACTGGAGTATTTATTTTTATTGTTTTAACCAACTCGACCACCTCGCACACAGCTTGACCTGACCCGCCGACCTAGACGGACGCTGCTGTGCTGGTGACAGGAACGGAGTTGGGGTGGTATATATACCCCTTGGCCCCGCACGAGATGGTAGGTCTAAGGACGGGAGGAGGAAGGAGAGGAACATAGGTGTGAGAAGAAGCGAGGCAGGTGCCTGTGGGACGGGCTACCTTATATTCGGATGGATGGGATGGGAGCTCAGGGGAGGACTGACTTCACCTCGCTTCTCTACACTAGCTGGGATGGTCAACGATGAAGGTCACTCCTTTACACGAGCCCGTATCCACGGAAAGCATGATCAAGTCAAACTCAGTGACCATAGTTCAAAGTCCAATGCCCTGCGTAGGTTGCTAAACATACCCCATTCAGTACCGGCAACTATTCGCTAATAGTGCAAACCCAATACCATTCCAGTTGACTATTCATATTTCAAAGATATCCCTTCCTCCTCACTCAGCTTTCGCACAATCAATACCAAGACTTGCTTGACACCTCATCAGCTACTCTTGCTAGGCCATTCTGAAACTCTCCCAAAAAAATAAATAGATCGTCAACCGCGGCGTCCTACTCTCGCTTACTCTCCTGGCCGTTGCCATTACTGTTGGGGCCAGCCATCTGTCCGAAAAGCAGGGTGAGGGGATATCCAAAGAAGGCGCCAACGACACACAGCGCCGTTGCCAAGAGGGTCCAGGCGTGCCAGGCCCAGTAACCAAAGAAGGGGGCGATAAACTTGAGCCACTCGCCGACCTGGTAGTGATCCTCCTGACTGACGATGAACTGGCGTTGACGGGTTCCGACAGAGGCGGTGTCGCCGTAGCCGCGGGGCAGCGGGTTGCCGTTGGCGTCGATTGTGCGGGTCTCTAGGCGAAGGACGACGACAAAGTCGACGGGGGCCGAGTAGAAGGGAACGAACCACAGGCGGAAGTCTTGGCGCATCTTGACGTAGAGCAGGTTTGTCTTCTGGTCTTGGACTGTAGGGGGTTTAGCATTTCGGACTGTAGTACATTGTTATGCCGTAGAAAGCTGCCTCCAAGAGAGATAGCTGACCAGACTAACGACAGGGAACGTACCGGAAGACTCAATCTCCATTTCAATATTAGGGCTCAAAATGCGGTACCAGCGGTAAATCATGAGGACCAGCCAGCGCGAGTTGATGGTGAAGAGAAACGGGATCTGGATGTTGCCAAAGGACGGGACATGGCAAAATGGGTGGGTGAAGGAGGCGTCCTCGGTGAAGTTGGAGTAGAGAGCATTCTGCTGCTTCTCGGGGGATCCCTGGACTAGGTCCCGGATTATGGTCTTGATCTCCTTGACTGTAGCCGGATGTTTGTCAGTAAGAATACGCCCTTGGGCTCGTCTAGTTGAATCTAAGAGGGGGGGAAGGGCGAGCGGCGCAGCGACTCAAGATTCGACCACCCCGAAGCACCGAGTTGCAGGCGTGGGGGATAGCGTCTCTTAGCCGCCATGAGCTACAGCCAGGGTTCTTGCAAGTGTTGGCAGCGAGATGCTGCCGTCTCGTTCAGGGTGTTCGTGTGTGTGTGTGTGTATGGGTGACGTCTGCGTACCTGGATGATCCATCTTGCGCTCGTGTCAGCGTCGAATCGAAAGACGTCTTGCTATTTTGCCGTGTGGAGCTATGGAATCGTAGGTGAATCCTTCAAGCTGGCGAACGGACCAATTTGGTTCTCTTGTATAGTACCTGGAGCCAAATGAAGTTCAGGCTTCGTTGATGTCTTGCGGGGGAGGTGTTGTTGTTATCCTCAGTTTGGGCAGACACAGATGTTCGAGTTGGTGGGAAAAGATAAACGTCACAGGAGAGGCACAGAGGCAGGAAAGGTGGGAAGGGAAAGGTCAAACGTTAAAAGGGAGGGAGAGACGCCCCGAGCTACACTACTCGGAGCTATACGTCGGCCGCGGGAAGGATGGAAGTGGGAGCTATGATGTCTCACAAGCCAGACAACAAGAGCTCTCCTCAGAGGTGAGGTACCTCGAGCACCCTAGGTAAGCTACCTAGCGTCGAAAGTGGTAGAATCGGGAAAGGGAGTGTGTGTGTATGTGTGTGCAAATGGACGACGCCCTTTCCTACCAATTGCCGGATTAGGAACTTGCCTGTGCCTGTGCCTGATTGTTTGATTTGTCTCGTAAAGAATTGGATACCGGTACCTATGCACCTATGGTACCTGAGGTGTGGACGTGGTGGCGCTCTTACCCACGACCGGGAAGCCGAAAGCTCGCAGGTGATGTCATTCTGAAACTATTTGGAGCATGGGCGTGCCCTCCTCCACAAGTCCGGGGAAAGCATGTGAAATGCGGCTCCTGCTGCCGTCATTGGCCAATCCCCGTTTGACCACACCTGCTGCCAGTGCATTATTTATTTATTTAGGTCGACTTGACGGGGAAGAGGTTACAAGTCTTACTTACCTTACTTACCCATCTCATTCATCCAAAGTTCTGCTAGGGGCATCGTCGATTTCTGTTCATCATGCCTTACCCTTAGGTACCTTGCAGTAGCTGCATATTCCAGAGAGCGAGCATGTCACTATTGCAAACACCAATCACACCATGGGCGCGGAAACTCCGTGTTAGTGAGGGAACTGACGGACCTCGACTGCGTTGTTCATCAATGGGTTTTCAGCAGATTAGAGTAGAGCAATGAGATGAAATGGGAAGAATAGTCCAGATTATATCCGCGCTTTGGTATCAATCGCCTTCCGTCTCATCCATCAAAATGCGCTCGATTCCCTCCAAAAAGTACTCGACCGTAACAGGTCTTATTTCATCACTTATTCCCTTCAGATGTCTCCTCATGCGTGATAACAGGTGACGAGGCCCAAAACATTGCAACCTCTTCACGCGCGCGCACCAGCTACCGAGGCAGCACCACAATGCCCATCCATTGGCGTGCTAAACGATCATGGGATCACCAAATCCGCCGTATTCGGGAAATACTTTGAGATCGACCACATCCCAACTTCAGATCCCAACTTATGGCAATACGGGCTTTCGTATCGAAACCGAACACGTCTTCGGCCCCATCCCGCTGTCCGGAGTCACCCCACACTTGATCTTCCATCTGACACTTCCTCCCCTCCTTTCCCCATCCTTACCTTCCCGCTCCGATCGGTATCTCCAGTATCCAGTATCCCATGTCCGTGTTTGACGTACATCGCCCTAGTATATCGTCCATCCCAACAAAAAAGGTTCGTACAACTTCGCTCATCGCCTACGTGAATATGCCGCACTCACGGCACCGCAACAGAATCTATTACAAAAACGGTCCCAACACTAATCCAGTCGCTTGAAAAGAAGAGAAAAGAACAACGCGATCTTGGACGTCAGGTAGGCACGCCAAACCTCAGTAGTCCCGGCTCCGACGCCGGCTCTCTCCCCGATGACTGTGCCGCCGCGAGCTACTATGCCGCCGTCTCCTTCTATCCGACGGCGAATGCTCCTCAATCACAACCACCTCATCCTCCTCGTCGTCCGTCACGACCCTCGGCGGCGGTACCCGACTATAGCTCCGCCGCTCCTGCATCGGCGGCGGCGGCGCCGCTTCAACAATAATAGGACCGCCGCTGCCCCCCGGCCCCGGCGGCGGCCTACTCACGCTCTCTCTGACCCGCACCTCCTCCGTCGCAATCACTCTCGCCCGCGGGCTGCGGTGTTTATGGTGTCGATACCGGCTCTTGGACCGCTGCCGCCGCACCGAGACGACCGACGCGGTGCCGGTGTATACGGATGACGACGAGGCCTCAACCGGCCGGCCAAAGTTGAGACAGGTGTAGACCATCCACAGGACGAGCAGGAATCCGGCGACGGCGCCAAGAGTGATGCCCACGATCGCGCCGGCGGGGAGGCTCGACCAGCCGCCGTACGTGGCGGGGACCACGACGACACCGTCCGTGGTGGTTTGTCGAGGAAGGATGGGCATTGCTGTGCCTTTAGTCGGAAACTAAGGTACTTCGTGATGACGTATAGTCCGTGGCGCGATGGTTAGACTCGCATGCGTAGTCGTAGGGTAAATCGCCTGCAGGAACGCAGTGACGGTCGGTCGTTCGCTCGTAGGGCTGCACGTGCAGGCTCGTGGGAATTTGTCGCAGGCGTTTGTCGGATGGCGCGGCGAAGCGACGATGAGGGGTGCAATGTGCAATGTGCAATGCACGCAAAGACGTTGGAAAACGAAAGGATCAGGCTAGCACCAGAGGTCGTGCCAAACAGCGCGCGCGCGTCGGCGTTCTTAGGTTGAACGGCTTTGGCTCCGACGTTGCAGCGTCGCAAAGCCTGACACAGATTCCGAGCGCTTGGCCGGGGGCGTCGAGTAAACGGCGACAAAAAAAATGTCGCTCGATGATATCGTCTATCGACCGCAAAGATGGCTCTGAAATGACGGGACGAGAAATGGCAAATTCAATGTCTGATGCGATGGTTCAGTCCCACCTGGAAAGAATGCGGGAGCAAGTTCCTTGGTCAGGCTGCTGGGTGAGAGAGAAAAGGCGAAAGACGAGAGAGTCACAGAGGGATGGAAGAGAATGGATGGATGGAAGGCACGGAGGGACGGGACGGGTGAGACTGAAGGGCGGGCAGCGCGACGTGTGATTGGAGCGCTGTGCCATTAGTTGCGTCTGCGCGACACCACCCGCGGTTTGCGCCTGCCTGTCACCGATCCGTCCACTGAACTAGAGGCTTCCACTTGTGCCTGTCGTGCCTGCCTGGCGCACATCATCGCGGGAAACACGGATTCTGGCGTGGGCGGCACAGAAAGGGCCTTCCCCAAATGGGTGCAAAACGGGATAGCCAACGCGCCCATTGGACTCTGGGAGACCCCCGTTTGGCCCACCCAAAGTCCGGGCCGAGGCAGGGGTCGAGCTCTGCGTTGCTGCACAGCAACCACTAGTGGGTACTTACCTAGGTCCTCCAGGGCTCTGTACTGTCAGAACTTCCCCGCTTGTCTCTGTCTTGGGGAACCTCGTTGGGAGGAAATGTTTTGTTTGACTCGTTTGACACACAGCGTTCCCCTCGTCAATCAGCATCTTTATCCGATTGCTTTGTCAAAATATCGTCATTGCCAGGTTGGCTAAGATAACCATGTATAAGAAATGCCCTTCATACGCGCCCATCTCCTCGCATAGAGCCCACCAAATTTCTGCCATAAACCCCTCCAACCCCACCTTCAATTGTGACGGTGGCACGGCTTACCCGAATTCTAAGCAGGCACCGTAAGGACAAATAGCTCGCCGGTAGAATCGCTAAGCATGAACAACCTTCCCTTCTTGTCAAACGCAAGACCAACGGGTCGGAAGCAGCTTCCAGGGCAAACAGCGTTGTTGACGTTCCACGCAACCTCGACCTCGGCCGTCTTGCTGGTAGACGCTGCAAGCGGCTGTCCGTTGGCACCAAAGTCGACTCTGCTGAGGCGATAGCCGTCACCAGGAGAGCGGTTCCTGTCAAGAGCGTCAACATTTGTTTGTACTGTGTCCACACTCCGGAAGTACTTACCAGCTGCCATGGAAGGAAATGTATGCGGATGATCCATTCGGAGAAAACTTAACGTCCAGCGGCGCCATGTGAGCCTGGAAAGTGAGCCGCGGTGGAGTGGGAACAGTCTGGCAATACTGGTCTGTGACGCTGCCAGACGCATTACCCTGGATGACTTGGCTTCCCACTTTCACATTGGGTACGCCCGTGACGGTGCTGGTCTCCCAGACGGCAAAGCAGTTGGGGTAGCCATAGTTTGCGCCCTTCTGCGGGTTCGACGCCGCTCTGTAGCTGCCGTGGTAGTTCAGTTCCTCGCCCGGGTTATCATTGTGAATATCCACGCTGTTGCGGTCCATGTTATCCAGAGAGTTCTCGACGGACCACTGACAGACCATTAGCTGGCTGGAGTCTCTGCGAGTATGCAGCAAGCACTTACAATGCCTCCATCCAAGGGGTTCTCTCCAACACCGACACTATTACGCAGTCCCCATCCAAACAGTTCTCCCGTTGTGTAATTCACGGCGCTGCCCGTCAATTTTGTCAGATCAAAGGCGCGGATCTGACTGCGGCCGGACGCAGCCTCGGCAGTTGGAAGGTCAAGATTCGGAGCGGAGCCGCGGGAAACGAGCAAGACATTCGGCTTGTCCTTGGGGATCAGCAAAGTGCGGCTCTGGTGGCCGGTCTGCGTCATGCCGTTGATGATGGACCTCGCCTGCCCAACAGTACCGGCAGCAGCGTCGTAAGAGTACGCAAGCACTTCGGATGCCGTTGCTGCATAGATGGTCTTGCCGTCAGCAGACAGGGCCAAACCGTGAGCGAGCTAGACGAAGGGTTAGCTGCTGCGCTGGTATGAAGATGCAGACGGAATGACGGGACTTCCTACATTTGCGTTGGAGATGAGTGTCTTCTGGGAAGCCACGCAGACGTTCACTCCGCCATTGCCTGTGAGCTTCACGTACTTGACACCCGTGCCTCCTTGCTCGGCGATGAGCAGGTTGCCCAGAGTGTCAAACTGAAGACTGCGGGGCCTCGACAGCCCGTTCAAGATGAGTTTGGAGGTATACCCTGGCGCCAGCTGGGGTTGCGCGACGGGAGTGAGGTTCGCGCATTGAGCCGCGACTGTCGAGAACAAAGCCGCGCCGGCGGCAGCAACCGCGGCGAAGGACGTGATGGGTGCCATTGTATTGACTCGTGACGAGGGCAGGCGATCGCCAAGGAGGCTACGTGATAGATGATCGTCTCAGAACAACCTGACGGAGGCCGAGATTGATGCTCTGGAAAGGAAGATGAAGAGCACGCCCCGAATCTTCAACTCCACAAATTGGATATGGGAGGTATGGATGGATAAAGACGAGAGAACAGCAATCGAAAGCCAGAATCAAGGAAGAGGAACCGACGTCCTTCCTCGCTCTTTAAGACCGGGGGCCAAGAAGGCAAGGACCAGCTTTCCAAGTCATTAACCAGTCTATCATGGCAAGGGCCAGGCAGCACGGAAGCGTTTTCCATCCGAACTTGCCTTCCAGCTGCCCTACACTACAGATCGTTAATACCAGACCTGGGTCATCACACTGGCCTTCTTCCCTGGCAGACCGGGAGCGGGGGAATGACAAAGTTGTAGATCTTGGCCCATCATCCGTCCTCCCTGTATTCCACAGCATGCTGCTCAAGCAAAGTGCCGGCAGGCGTCTTGTACGGAGTATAGCGATGGACTACATTTTACACAGGATCACCCTGTCACCGCATAGGAAGGCAGATCTCTCTCTCCCTGGGGGCCATCTATACCATGCACGTATCTAGCCGAAGACCGAGGATGTGATGGAATGAATCTTTGTCACCAAAGGTGGTGGACTCCCCTTTTTCCGCGCCGCCAAGCCAAATCACGTAGTACGCGATGCAACGAATTGCCGGCGGGTGACTTCCCATCAGAGCAGGTCCCAAGCAACGGTACTGCGGAGACTAGGGTTGTTGTAAAAGGAAGGTAACCTTACCTTATTTCCAAGACCTGTGCAATGTTGGTTTGGGCAAATCCACGGGAAACCATGGACAAGGGAGGGCTGGTGTTTCCACTTTATACAGGTATGACGAGAAACAAGGTTGACGAGGTCTCAGAAAAGAGAGTCTTCTTTTTGAACGAATCGGCAGCCATGTCATCAAAGAATGTAACCTGCTGATGATGATCAGTCTTGGCAGAGGCTGCGGGTTGAATGGAATGTGGAAAGGGGGCGCGCGCGCGCGCGGTTTTGAGTAACAACGGTGATTTTTCTCAGGGATAAAGTCAAGGCGAGAGGGGATGTGATGGACCCAAGGGGGTTGAGCCCGGAGGACTCCAAGGTCAGAATGGGGGCCTTGAACAATAGCCGTTGCATTAAGGTTGTCATCCGCGGAAACGGGTGGCCCGGAGTTTACGGGAGCCGGTACGGATCTGTAAGCGGAAAGAAGGCGACGGCCGATCCCTGGTGTTGCATGCTTGCAAGGTGTGATTCGAAATCTCTATGCGGGGAGGGGGAATAAATCTCCTTACCTTAAATGAGACGAACTTGGGATAGTTGGGGGGAGTATTCAACCTGGCGCCCAGATCTTGGCGACCTCTTTTTGCATCCCGCCGATTGGACGGAGATATTGCTGCGTAACTGATTAAGCGATTATAAACCGTGCCTGTTACATTGAAAGAATACAGGCACTGGATAGTGCTCCGTATTGGCGTCTTTTGCGTGCTTGTCTATCTACGTCAGACGGAAGGATAATCTGTATCGTTCTGAACGCAAACCAATAACTTTTCTGCTAGAGCACACAACTAGACGTGATACTAGACGTGGAAGAAATTCGCAAAGAAACGTTCAGAAACCAGAGTATCGGAAAATAAAGAGAAAACGGTGTTCACAATTCTCCTGTCTTTTGGACTATTGAGATGGATGATGTAGCCAAGGTAAAGGTACAACCGTACGCGGACATTTCTATCGGCCGACGGTCGTCGGTGAGTGTAAGTCGGGCGAGCTTAGCGAACCCTCTGCTCTGCCGTCGATGACACTGGACCGGCTGACATCAGATATCCGCTAAAGTCCGATCAACAACTTGCCCGCAGACCTCGAATCCGGGGTTCACTGTCCCTCCAATGTCGATCGAACGACCCGAGGAAGGATGCACTGCTCTTTTTGAACCGTCGTCGAGATGGCTTCTCTTTTCTTTCTTTGAATCCCTCCGACTCCGAAGGGGGCCCCCTTCTCCGCCGAGCCCCATTAACGGCACCTAAAGTCCCGTTCGGACGGACGGAAGGATGACACAAGCCTCCCCGATAAGTGGGCGCGTTCATCTCAACATCCAACGTTCGTCGCTTCGTTCGTCCTTCCTTTCACCCCAACATGCCAGATCACACAATGCCAAAAAAAAAATTTGAAATCCTCGCTTACCACAATAGATGGACTCCAATGGCCATTGGCCGCCCAACAAAAACTTGCTCATCTTTATCGTTGCAATTGAGGACGAAGGATATGACGTCTGTCCTGATGGATAATTCCTTGATGACTGCTGACTGCTGCCTGCTGCGTGTTTCGATTTCCCATCTCCTCAACTAACCCCTCGCTTACTCGCCAGCCTCATCTCACTCTTCAAGACGGTCTCATCTCATTCTCAGCTGAACCGAGGTCTGCATGCCCAGCTGTAAGATAACCCGGCGCCACAACAAAAAATGGACACGCTGTGAAGATATCGGTAGTGATCATGCAGGTCCGGTTCACGACTGGTACACCTCAAACTTCTGTGCATATTGTGTTTGTCTCACGCCAACCACGAGGGAGACCTCTCACGAAACAATAATCCAGCCAGACTTTGATGTCTGGTAACGCCTCTTTAATGCGGGGTCACCCAGTCTCCCGTATAGAATCTAAATTGCCCGGGGAAACCAATCTTCAAGAGTGTACAGAGTCACCTGACAACGTGATAATATGGCGTTCCCTTTCTCAGTCAATCGCGCGCGGAGGCGTCGTTTGTGGCGTTGGCCCTAGAACCAAACATGCCCCTCGCTCCGTTCTTACAAACTTACCTCATGAATGTTAGCTCTCAGCGAATGCTGATCTCTGGCGTTCACGGACGATACTTGTAGAAACCCCTCGTCCGAAAATACTGTGTCCTACTTCCCGCGTACGATCGTATCCCCAGTCCGAAGTTTACGATAGTCCACATTGAACTCCCGTGCAATCCAAATCCACACATCCTTGTCTCAACAGATTGTGGCGCTAAGTAAATGGCTAGGGAGAGAGACAAGGTTCCCCCCTCAACTGGTCAGCTTCGTCTCGATGCAGGTTATGGAGAACTCTTAAATCAATTCTATAAAGAACCGTGCAAATAGCCGCTCTAAACTTGTGATCTCATACAATTCATCTTTACATCATCACCCAAACATCTCACAACCTCATTACCCACGTGATCAACATCGTTTCTGTCTCATTACCATTCTATCAACATGACCACCACCGAAGAGCCAAAGCAGACCTACCGCGGCAACTGCCACTGCAAAGCCTTCGTCTACGAGGTCCAGCTCCCAGAGATCAAGTCCGCCAACGCCTGCAACTGCAGCCTCTGCACCAGGAAGGGGACCCTCTGGGTGATTCCCCAACGCGACGACCTGCGCTTCGTCAAGGGCGCCGAGGACGATCTCTCGACGTACAACTTTGGTCCGGGCCAGATTACGCACAAGGTGAGCCGAAATCAAGAAATGCCAATGGGAAACAAGAAAGTCTCCTCCGAGTAGTTTGCTGACAGCTGTGGAAGTTCTGCGGAAACTGTGCTACGCCCATCCTGGCGGATTCCCCCAACGGAATAGTCCTAAACGTGAGTGTCTTGCATCCTTTCCCCCGTCTCAAGATCTATCCGAGGGGGGAAAAACACTAGGGCTGACACATTTCTGCAGGTGCGCTCGATCCAAGATCTCGATATTTTCGGGATGGAGAAGAAGACGTATGCAACCCATAACCCCTACAAAGCCGGTCGAAAACAAAAAGCTGACCCGATCTCTGCAGTTGGGACGGCGCGTCTTCCGGCGCCAAATACGAGCCTCACACCCACAAGGGCCCCAGGCCGACGGCCGAGGTCGAAGGGGGCAAGCTCTACACCGGCAGCTGCCACTGCGGCGCTCTGACGGTCGCCGTCGTCAGCAAGCCCATTGACGAGACGTACGAAGCCGAAATCATCGAGTGCAACTGCAGCATCTGCGAAAGGGTCAGCAAAAGGGCCCCCCTACTAAATGCCCGTGTCGGGGAAAGGAGAAATGTCATGCTGACTTTTTGAATAGAATGGATACGTCTGGTTGTACCCCAACACCGACCAAGTCGTGCTGACGGGAGACGACGCCAAGATTGGCCGCTACATTTTCGGGCACCACATCCTCGCAAAGACGTTTTGCAAGACGTGCGGCGTCCCCGTCACCAATGCGATCAACCCTCTGAGCGAGGAGGAGCAGAGTAATCTGGTGGAGCGAGCGCAGTACTGGTACGAGAGGTCGAAGACGAGACATCCCGTCAACGCGCGGGTCCTCGACGGAGTGGAACTGAAGAGTCTGAAGGTTCTCCAGATCGATGGCAAGACTGAGCATCAGCCTGGATACGTGAACCCCTGAGGCGGGACTGTAGCGGCTTTCACCGGTGAATTAGGCGAGGCGTTGAGGACGAGGTTGTTCCGTAGTCGAGTAGAAAGATTCTAGGCGTTGAAAAAGAAATCAAGTGTTGAGCTTCCGAGTCGTATGAGTCCATATAGGAGCCCCATCGTCGTCAAACTTGGCCCACTGGAAAAACGAGCAACTGTCCTTGCCGGGCACGTTGCCTCCGTGACACATCCAAAAGTACCTCCCGTGGTTCTCCTTCTTCCTCTGCACGACCCTCAGCACGCACGGAATCCCGCAGTCGCATTTTGGCGTGTGTCTCGGGTGCATATCGGCCCTGTAATCGCGGTAGGTGATGTTGATGCGCTTGTTGCCGGCGACGCGGTGCGGGTCGATGGCCTGCGCCGCCGCGATGCTGTGCTTCCACTCTTCCTGCATCTCGGCGTGCATCACGAGGAGGGAGTTGTGAGGGAGGTGGATCGAGATCTGGCCCTCTGCGTCGGCGTCCTCAGCCGTCGTTGTCGTGCTGTTCCCGTTCTCGCCGCCGCCGCCGTCCTTGGGGATGATCCTTCGCACGCGGAACTCCCGGGCGACGCCCAGTGATACCGACCCGATTACGGTGCGGGGGCCGAGGTAGGTCAGCTGGTCGCTGTGCCACCCAACATTCTCCTGCGGCCCGTCGTAGCAGTTGACAAAAGCCATGTTGGGAGCCCACGGCCTGGGCGACTGGTACCGAAGCTTCTTGCCCCCGGGGTAGCGGGTCTTCATTCTTGTCTGGATCTCTTGATTCACGGCTTCTGCGACTTTGGGCTTGACCTTGATAAGCTGCGGCGTGATGCGGCGAATGTCGCTCAGCTTGGCGCCGTTGTAGAGGTAGTCCGTCTTCTGCGTTTGGATCTCGTCGTAGCTTTCGACGTAGAAACTCGATGTGTGCGGGCTAGCGACGACATTGTCGAACAATTTGAACGTGACGTTCTTCTCAAAAGACTTTGCTTCCGTCATGAGTTCTCGCAAGAGGTCGTTGGCTTCCTCTTGCGGGAGGAAGTTGTGGATGACGGTGCATGGCGTGTGTTCAGCAATGTCGACCGGATCGTATAAGTGAAGCGTGGCCCCCTTCTTGGACATGAGTTTCTTCTTTGGTTGTGGACCGTTGCTGCCATCTTCCGACTTTACACCAAAGTGCCGAAGAGAGCTTTGGGCACCATTGACTCCATTCGACTTTTTGATCGGGATTGGCGCCTTGAGAGCCTCGAGCGATTCGGCGACGGAGCCATTGTGTGCCAAGAGGACGTCTAACAGTACATCTTGCTCCAAATTTGGGTGAAGTGAAGAGAGAATAGCTAGCTTCACCTCGGTCGGCTCATCATCGTCTGCTGGCTTTTCCTCTTGAATGAGCTTCCGCTTCTTCCTGATGAGAAACGAGTCCATGACGTATGTCGTCAGTGACCACACGAGTGGACGACCTTGGAGAAAGTCATGAAGATATGTGCATGCCCACCAATCTCATGGAAATTTTGGAAAGCGAATGCATCCGAGTCAAAAACCGAAGCATAACACCCCACCAGTCCAGACTCCATGTTTCTAGCAAGTGTCATTGCAAAGGGCGTAGTGAGGAGGCGCGTGTGTAGCGCGAAAGCACGTGCTTCTCCCCCACCTCCAAACAGTCAATTACTGCTGTCTTCCATAGCGCCCCCGATAATCGCATCTCCCACTTTACTGCATTTTCTGCCCCGCCATCCGCACCACCCCACTGGCGGCGTTGCCCGCAAACCCGCCTGGCCCTTGGCCCTTCTCCCCAGTCTGCCGAGGTACCCCGGATCGGGCGCGGTGATGTAGCCGTCGACCGGCCAGAGCTATCCCGTCCCGCGGTCATATGCTTTTTTTCTGTGAGCGTGTGTGTGTAGGTAGCGGTACCTCTTTGGCTTGATTGTTCACCTCAGCACCTTTGCCTGTGCCAACAACCAAAACCTTTCCCCTCGCTCTCGACCAAAAGACAAAAAACCACGGGCCCGCATCGCGCATTGCGTTTGCGAATTCCCCTCCGCGCCCGCCATGGCCCCGATGCTCGAATTCCGTACGCAGGGCTACAACCCCTACGCCGTAAAATACTCGCCCTACTACGACTCGCGCATCGCCGTAGCATCGTCGGCCAACTTTGGCATCGTCGGCAACGGCCGCGTCTTCTGCCTAGGGCTGACGGCGCGAGGGATCGAAGTCGAGACGACGTGAGCCCTCCCCGTTTCCTCATTCCCCCCTTTTGCTACCCCTCCTTAGGTAGTTAGATAGCTCACACAACCCATGACAAAAACAACAGATTCGACACCAACGATTCGCAATATGACCTTGCCTGGTCCGAGATCAACGAGAACCAGCTCGTCGTCGCCTGCGGCGATGGCTCCATCAAGCTCTTCGACCTCGGCGTAAAGGACTTCCCCATCATGAACTTCCACGAACACAAGCGCGAGACCTTTTCCGTAAACTGGAGCCCCATCACAAAGGACACCTTCGTCTCGAGCTCGTGGGATGGCACGATCAAAGTGGTACGTTGGTAGAAACCACCCCCCCAAAACTTCACAAGAGAGGAAAGAGAGAGAGAGAGAGAGAGAGAGAGAGAGAGAGAGAGAGAGAGAGAGAGAGACAGGGAGGACCTTCGTATACTGACAAACCGCTCCCAGTGGTCCCCAACCCGCGACCACTCCCTCCGCACCCTCCCCGTAGGAAACTGCACCTACTCCGCCGCCTTCCAACCCTCCAACCCGCACATCATCTCCTCCGTCTCCTCCGACTCCCAAATCCGCATCTTTGACCTCCGCACCCCCGTCTCCTCCCGCTACCACCTCACCTCCATGATCCCCGTCCACGCCGCGGGCCCCTCCCACCCGTCCGCCGCGCCCGCCGAGGTCCTCACCCACGACTGGAACAAGTACCGCGACACCGTCATCGCCACCGGCGGCGTCGACCGCGCCGTCCGCACCTTTGACATTCGGAACCCGACGGGGGGTCCCGTGGCGGTGATGCAGGGCCACGAGTATGCCGTTCGGAGGCTCGCGTGGAGTCCGCATGCGAGTGACTTGTTGTTGACGGCGAGTTATGATATGACGGTCAGGTTGTGGGATGATCGGTCGAACGCGCCGCCGGTCGGTGGACCTCCGGGCGGGGCGCAGATTGGTGCGCAGGTTGGGGTTATGAATCGGCATACTGAGTTTGTTGTCGGTGTCGACTGGTGTCTGTTTGGTGTTGGTGGGTGGGTTGCTACCGTCGGCTGGGATGAGAGGGTTCTTTTGTGGGATGCCAATGCGCTGTTGGGTGGCCGGTGAAAGACGGACGAGGTTTGGCAAATGAGCCTTGTGCTTCGTGCGGTAATTGTTTTTGTCGTTTGGGTTTGGGGGGGGATGCTGATACCCTTCTCTCGGAAGAGGCGCGCATTCATTTCATTATCTGGGCGTTCAGGGGGGCGGTCCTAGAGGGCTACGATTTTTGGTGACAATTTTCAGAAACAGAAAAAGGGGACCGGCCATCCCTTTGTTGGGAAAATAGTAATTGGCTGTAAATGAACGTTCGTCTGGCGTTGCTGGGAGCAGATGGGCCTCGCAATACATGACTGGGTTATTCTACTCGGGAGCTACACGTGAAGCGCAGACCAGGGTTGTTGATAAAGTCAACAAGCACACACGTATGGACGGGCAACGCCTTGGCTCAAAATAAATGATATTGAGGAAGCATTGATAGACAGGGTAACTTCACACAAAACAAGAGCGAATGGTAGTTTCTGTATCTTGAAGATGAGAGTTGGAGATTTGATATCCCCCAGTATTATTTACATGGCGCTACAGTTGAGCATCCTTTTTTCCGCCCCCTTTAATCTCGTACAGTTGAAAATCTCTTTGGGAACGTTGTAGCCCCGCGTCTCAATGTCGGTGGTGGTGGTAATACAAGCACAACTCCCTCGAGTAAAGCCCCCCTTTTTTTTCCTGTGCTCCGTTGCAAAAATTGGTATGATACAAGCCTGTTTCCCTTAAAAAAAAAAACAGGAAGAAAGGGGAGTGGTGGTAATGTGTAGGGGGGTATGACATGTCTAATTCAGTTTCCGAGGTCGTTAAAAAAACGTCTTCCGTGTCTCACAGACCTCTTCCGATTCATTGGGGCCTTTTTGCTTTTTTTCGTTTTGCTTGCTTCTCTTCTTCCTTCGCTCGATCACCCGCTACGCTTCCGGGGGCCGTTGTCATCATCTTCCGCTTAGAAAGAGGATCTCTGCTGACGGTCTCTTCCACCGAAGCCACGTCCGCCGTCGCGGCCGCCACCCCGGCTGAAACCACCTGAGCGGCGGTCAGAGCTGGAGCCGTCCATCTCCATCTTCTCAAAAGCGTCACGGGGCTCGCGACGGCTGAAGCCACCGCGGTCGCCGCGGTCACCACCACGGCTGAAGCCACCGCGATCGCCGCGGTCACCACCACGGCTGAAGCCTCCACGGTCGCCGCTGTCGCTACCGTACCTGGAGCCAGGTTGTCTGACGTTGAGACCCTTGATTCTGCGCAGACCACGCTTCTCGACAGTGGAAGCACTCAAGGCGGGCGTGTCGTCTTGCTCCATGGCATCGATCCACCACTCGCGGAGCTCGTCAACCTTGGCCTGGACGTTGTCGCGGTTCTGGCCAAACATAGACAGGTAGGCAACTTCCAAGACTTGAGGGTCAACCCGAGAAGAAGCCTCGGTCACCTTCTTGCACAGCGCTGTGGGCTCGGCTCCGCTGGTGAAGTCGTGCTGGGCACACTCGATCGTCTTGTTGGGCTTCAAGGGAAGGCCTTGAAGTTCCCGGCGGGCAGTCTCCATTTCGCTATCAGAGAGGAATATCCATCCCTCACCCTCCTTGCCAGCGCGAGCCGTGCGGCCAAGTCTGTGGATGTACTGCTCACGGTCCGAGGTAGCGCCGATCTGGATAACGTGGGTGACGTTGGGGAAATCGAGACCTCTGGCAGTAACGTCGGTGGAGAACAGGATACCGGACCTGGCCTTGCGGAACAACTCTGCAGACTTCGTACGCTGGGCCTGGGTGAGCTTGGAGTGGATTCTCCAGCCCTGGACGCGATCGCGATCCCCTCTCATCGAAATATCAACATCGCCGACAAGATCGACCAGAGCCGACGTGGGCAAGAACACGAGGGCCTTGAAGGGCATCATTTCCCGATCGGCCGTTCTCTTCGCGATTTCCTTGTCGATAAGCTCGTACATGGCAGGGAAGACGTTGGCCCAGCCTCTGCAGTGAACAACGTGCTGATCAACTCTGTCGTGGGTGAGAACGTCGTCCTTATCGATGGTCTGGATGAAGTCAAAGTTGTCGGGGCGAACCCATTGGCGGGCAAGAGCGATGACGTTCTTGGGGATGGTGGCAGAGAAGAGCAGAGTCTGGCGGTTAGAAGTGCGGACGTCGGGCAGCTGGTCGACAATAGACTGCAGCTCCCTCTCGAACCCGACGTCAAGCATGCGGTCGGCCTCATCGAGGACAATCGCAGCCAGGTTGGGGGCCTCGATTCCGCTGTAGGGATCCTCGAGAAGGTCGTTGAGACGTCCGGGCGTACCAACAAGCAAGTGGCAACCTTCTCTACGGGTCTTATGCAGCATCTCGCCCTTTCGTGTTCCACCGACGGCGCGCTGGACGACCAGGCCCGTGTTCGCGCACAGCTTCTCGGCTTCGATGGCGATTTGCTCGGCAAGCTCACGTGTAGGAGAGATGATGATTCCACGAATGTCCTTGGAGCTGGCTTGGTACCGCGCTCTTCTGGTCGCGAGCGACGGGTCCGCCGCAAGCATTCTCTGCACGATGGGAATGAGGAACGCCAGGGTCTTTCCGGTACCTGTCTTTGCTTGGGCGACCCTAGTAGGGAGCGTCAGTACATTGTACGGCAGAGTCGCATCGATGATCATTGACTTACAGGTCCATGCCCTTCAGCGCGGGTTCGATGGTCTTGCTCTGGACATCCGTCATGTCCTCGTACCGCATCCTCTGCGTGATGGTGTCGACAAGGGTAGTGTGGACGTCCAACTTGGTCAAATCGGCGAACTTGGTCGTCAGACCAGAGGCCTTTCCTTCATCCTCGGCGACCGGCGCGGCCGCAGCGTCGGCGGCCTCGCTAGAGTAGAGTCTGAATGCATGAATGCTAAGGGGCACGCGAAGCGCGCTGGGCGAAGACTTCGCAATCGTCTGAAGGGTGGCAGGTCTGGTGGTCGTTCGGAGAGCCGGGGCGGCAAAGGTTGCGCCGCTGATGCGAGCGCACCTCCTGAGAGATTGACGAAACATTTGTGTATGTGTGTGTAGAGGATGTGGATTAAAAAACAGTAGCTACTGAAGAAAAAAAGGACGATACAATACAGCTTCTTTGGTTCTGGAAGAAAAAAGGGAGTGGATGAAGGAGGGTGTGTAGGATGCAAATCTGTCGTCCTCTTTTTCGCCAGTTGGATTGCGAGAAAGAGCTGGGAGACAGGAGGCGAGCCGATAAGAATTTTTTCCCGGCCTTATCTGCCCATCACTCACCTTTTTTTTCCCTGAGCTTCGGTTGGTTCTCTGGTTTTTGGTGGGTCTTTCCTGCGACCGACAGGGGACGGGGTGGAACAGCCACTCATTGGCGCGCCCGGGAGGCTCCGGCTTCGACCCCTGCGAGGCAAGCTTTTAGCGTCTTAGGTATCATGGGAGCACTCGTACTTTTGCTCTCTCAATTCAATTGAGGTACCTAAACAGTCATGATCCTTTACCTACCTAGTCGGCTTGCTCAAGACCACATTGAAATCCCGACTATGACGAGAGCTGACAGTCAACCCAATACTTTCTCAAAGTTCTGTCAAGACTGACAGTAAAAAATGGACCAAACCTATGAGGGGATTTATGACTATTAGCCAATTTGCCATAACTACCTATTCTCCAAGTTTTCTCTCACCACCTTACACATCATAAAAATCTCACGAGAGCCAACTCTCGCTCATTCGTGCCAACAAACATCAAAAGTCATTGAATTCATTAGTATTGCAAATGAGCTTCTCTATGACCCAATCCTTGCGCATCATCAATACCCTATAGTGACGCCCAGGCTAGACCCCGATCTCTTTGATCATTGCAGCAAACCTCACAGTCAAATCATCACATGAGCGCTCTAGTCCAGCTGAGCTCGACCCAGCAAGCTAGTGTGAGCTATCGTAAAGCTCTAGTAGAGGCCTTTCCGTCACACACATGGTCTAACTGAATCTTTCAAATGGAAAATTTCCACCGAGGGAAAAAAATCTAAAAAAAATCTGCATTTGCAGTAACCGTACCTGACCTGACATAAGAAAACGAAGATGTACTCCCAAAGTCTAAACCCGAAAAATATGATGAAAATCCCTATACCATATTGCGTTAAAAATGTCCTCATTATCGTTCATCTCATTGTCGCTTGGGCGCCACGATAGACAAGCCCTCGCCGACGCCATCAGAGAGACCTCCCGTGAGGCCCTCAACTGTCCAGGCAACGGCCTCCGTGAGAGCCTGTCCGAGCCTGCCGTCACCGACATTGTACAACGCCCCGGTTATGCGCATTCCCTTGCTGCCGATCGCGTTGGCGAGACCCATGCCCGCACCCACGAGGTTCTCCGATATCCGGTACTCCCGCTCCGTGCGGGCCGCTAACCGCAGCATGAGGATGATGTACGGCAGCGCCAGGTGGATGAGAATGAAGATATTAACGACTGCGATTTGCACGCCCCGGTGAAGAATCGATCTGCCGTTGTTCGCACCCCGCGACGGAGAATACGCCCGACCGCCTGGACTCGGTGGGGGGATGAAGTTGGAGGGTGTTGACGTGCGGAGTCGGTGAAGCTCGTGTTCGTTTAGGTCGCTGGGAAGGGCCTTGAGGATGTACTCGACGCCGTCGAGGAATGCTTTCCTTTCAAAATCGACTGCCGGCCGCCTTGACGGATGCCTCAACTCATCTTGGGCAACGGCAATCAAAGCAAGTCCTAGAGAGCAAAAGGTCAGTCCTAGTTACCCCCATCATCAGAACGGTTCCTACCTTGCTGGGCGAAGCGCCAATCTACATTTGAACATTGGCTAGACGCTTGCTGTTGCTGATAGTACTGTTCCGCTTGTTGCCGCTGCTGCTCATGCTTCTCGGCGGCTGAGCGCACCTCATACGTCCGCGATGACTGGTGATGTTCGGTAGCCACCAAGCTCATGTGCTGCTCTTCCGTGCTCTCGGAGACGAGGCGCGCCTGCGTGATGTTTCGGTGCACGCCGTCGTCGAGCCCCGACAGAGTGCGGGTGTGTGATTGCCTGCTCGAGGTGAGGGTTTGCATGCTTGCGCTCTTGCGGATAGACCGCAGCGGCGGTAGCCGGGACTGAAGAGAGGTTGGCAGCATCGAGAAGACCGTTGATGACATTCTATTCTGCGGGAGAGTAATCTCCTCGAAAATGGTACCCCAGGGTCGCAAGGGGGGCATTGTTGTTTTATTATTTCCTCTTGGGCGGGAGCAAGGCGTGGGCGCTACCGTCCGTCCGTCCGTCCGCCTGTGTTGACAATCTTTGGTTGTCGGGGAATTCGGTGAGATGGCGTGGCGGTCTGTTCTCGGTCTGCTATTCTGGTAAGTCCCCAGGCTTGTGATCGCGAGAGCGTTGTCGACAGAGAAGGAATGTTACGGACCAAGAACGTCGAGATCTAGCCCAAGCGCCCGCTACTTTGCGACTGAGGGAATGTTTGTAGAGAAAAAGTGTTGATAAGAAATTGCCCCGCTGTTGTGAATCCCACGTTCAGATGCGCTTGCGGCAACGGTTGTATCCAAGTGGAGTAGTTGGAATTCTTGAGTCTAAGATATGTAAGATGCTAAGCTGAGGTCGAGGACGACAACGACGATGAATTGGCAAAAAAGCAATGGTTGGCAGATCCAGGTCGAGTCCCAGGGTAGTAGGTGTGAAGCTTCTTTGAGCGAGTTGAAAAATCCAAAGGTGAGACAAAGAAAGCGAAGGGGAGGGGGGTAAAAGGCTTAAGAGAAGAGGCAAGGTAAAGTAAGGCCAGTCAGTCAGTAGTAGAGCAGGGTATCCGTAGTAGTAGGTACTTTGGAGTCTGAACTAAGAAGCGAAAGAACCTGGAAGTGGAGGGGGAGACGACGGAGTGTATCGGTTGGTAGTGGTGAATGACAGTGGAAAAAGGAACCCGTGGATAAGGCCAAGCCGTTTCTGCCCCGGTTTGCGTCTTGTTCCTTTTGGCAGTCGTTCCCGCTGAGAGCGGGCTGGGGCGGGAATCTGATGATGGGCGGATGGATCGAATCGGCGGTGGCAGGCTCGCAGATAGTCTGATACGAAGTGGAAAGAGCGTCCCGTCAGATGAAGGAAAGTTTACCTCATGTTTTGTGAGATAGGTAGCTATTAGGTATCCGGTATCCGTTCCTCGAGTCTCTGCAAGCACGGAACTTTGGCTGCCAAATGGGGAGTCAGAGAAAGGTGCAGATAACTTTACCGATGGAGAAAAAGGTACCTCGAAATCCTTTTGTCTTTGTTACATCCTACTATGCGCGTCCCAGCGTGTTGCGTAGCAGAATTGCGCAACATGTTGGTCGAACCATACACAAAGGGGCCCTCCGCCTCCCATCTTAGTTGGCTAGGTATGCCCACGAGTCTTTTTCCTCCTGTCTTTCTCTTCCGTCTCTGACCCATGCAAGAATCATCGCAGACTCGCTCGCCCTGTTTTCTTCATCATTTTCTCCCCTCTGCCAGTGGAGATGTCCTGCGCGGTGAAGACGGGCCCACGGGGAGGGACTGACTGCAGTCTGTCGAAAAGCATGTGAAAGACAGAAATGTTGGGTCGAAGCGGGGCTCTCTATCGGTCTTGTCTTTCTCTATCTGATCCATCCATGCCCCATGCCCATAGCCACCCACAAAACACATGGCGCATGGCGCCAATGCAACGAATGCATGGAGAGGGTAGCCCTCACGCGGTACGGAGTACGAAGTACGGATACGCCCTACTCCCTGAGTCTCTCTCTCTTTTGAGGGTCCCCGCTGGCATGCGCGCAATTGGGAAGCTAAGCGTTACAAGGGTCCAGTATCTAGAGGCTCCTGGCACTCAAGGCCTCACACACACACACACACACACACACACAGTTGGTAGATACCGCAGCATAGCAGCGCGTGCAATTGAAGGATTGTAGTCTTTCGTCACTATTCTGCAAGTCACCATGTCGCAAAGCCCGGCTGTGTCACGCTGCATCTTCCTGTGGGTCTTTCCTTGAACCCTTTTCCCCATTGTAGGGGGGAGGGCAACTTGATTCAACCGTTGAACGAGCGTCGCATGGGATCGGCAGCAGCCTGAGAGTGACAAACAGTGACACAACATCTATATTCTCCAACCAAAGAACCGGTGGCGCTAAAACGGTAACAAGGAAAAAGAGAGTGGAAGAGGGGTGAAAAAAATAAAACCGAAAGACACTAGAGTCGTACAGCAAGTGAGATCCAGCCGCCAGAACACGCCTCCGAATCTTGGTACGGACACTGGGCTGTAGCATCCCGTACCAGGATTGAACCCCTCCACGCCCTACAACACCTCATACACTCTCTCTCACTCACTCTCACTCACCATTCCGCAGTCCAGGCAAGATTCCTCCCAAGTCAGAAAGGGGCCCCACCAACCACAAGACGAACCCATTCACAACTCAGTAACGAGGCACTTGCTTCTCTCTTGCCACTAGCGGTAATTTCTGTCCACACTTTCCGTTTACACAGCAGGAAACCTCGGATTGTTTTCTACCTTAGTATTCGGGAGGTATGAAGAGAGCGGGGGGGGGTTCCTCGTCATCCCGAGATTAGATTTCAAGCACTTTCTTATCAGTCGAACGATGCCAGTCGGAGAATTAAGAATGAAAAACTACCAACATCAGTCCCGTTCTGGGTAACCCCGGGAGACGATGAGATCTGACATTTTACAACGATCTGACCTTCTTCAGTGTGACGAACTCCCAATGCTGTATTACAAACTCGCCGCATCGGGGAAAGATGAAGAATTACCCGCAGCCCAGGCCCAGGTTCATCTTTGACCATGGCGCCTGTACAATGTTGCGCCCATGTCTCAGTATCTCTTTTCTTGTCTTTGAAGTCTTTGAGCCACCCCAAAAATTCGGTTCATGCTTTCTAAGCCTTGTGGCCTTGCATCCGCGAATCTCAGCGGGATAGGACCCCCACGTGTCTCTCAGGTCGTCAAGGCCCGAGGAACTCAGGAACCTCGTGTGTGTTTCCCCGAGTCATATCCAAGCCGTCCCGTGCTCCCCCGAACTCGGGAACGTGCAACCGACAGGTAAGGCGGATGCAAAACAAATTCGACGTCGAGATAAGACAAACACACACACACACACACACGGAAAGTCGGAATGGTGATTTGCATGTGCATGTGCCATCAATTATATCGGGAGCCACATCATGTAAGACAAGATCCCACCTCAACGCCGTTGCCCCCCACGGCGAGACAAGAAACCCCCCAAAGGTCCTGCCAGTCATATAAAAATGTATCATGCGGCTCGGCCGAGACAGAGAAAGAGAGAGAGCCTCAGTCACATGTGCTGTGGCTGGAAACGTGATGCCAAGGTTAGATACCGGGGGCATTGGGATTTGACAATGACAAGAGTATCCTATCATGCCTACCTACCCCATGGTCTCTACACAACCTCCATTTACACATTTCTCACTCCATTGCATGACTCCTACCTTGCAGAGAAATCACCGAAGAAGGTTCCTAGCTGTACTTGCGAGCAAGCGCCAAATGGAACAAAACGAGGGCGAGTCAAGCCACAGGATACGTCAAGCTCGTGTCATTTAAAAACCGATGAACTAAAAAAGAAAAGAAAAAAAAAACCGCCCGACGATGGCACTTGGAAGAACGGCGCAAGGGTTACCCGCTTACTTGACAACTAAGGTACCGGGCGTGGCGGCGGCCCCTTCTTGTCTCAACCAAGTTCAAACCGTTCGAACCGTAGCACGTGCTTATCAAGCTCCAGTCATCAAGGTCCCAGGTTTTCCTCAACGCATAGTCAAGCCGGTGGAGGTCCACATCGCGCCATCAGCCCGCTGCCGCTGAGCCCACGCTTCCGAGGGGAAAGTGACGTGTGTACGGAGAGCGCAAGGTAAGGGTAGGCTCCCCACTGCGTTGGAGGCATATGAAATTGGATATGTGCCGTTATATCCCCGTCCACCTTACCGACTAGACACTGAAGCCGTAGACTCCCTCTGTTACTGTATGTGTGTGTGCGTGAGTGTACAGATTCCCAAATGCACGTAACCCCCACCGATCTTCCCTATGCCCTCAACAAGCAAAATAACATACGCTGTGAAAAGCCATCCCACCCGTCTCGATCCAAGGGGCCAAGGCTATGCCGCCTTCTCCGCAGCAATCTTGGCCTCCATCTTCCGTCGCGCCGCGAGAATCATCTCGTCTCTCCGCTTCTGCAACAGCGACTGCCTCTCGTCCCTGTTCGAGCTCCACCCCTTGGCCGCCTTCTCCTTCTCCTTCTCAGCGGCGGCGTCCGCTTCCGCTTGCCGCTGCTGCGTCGAAATCTTGTCTTGAAGCTTGTACCTCGTAATCAGGTCCGGCTGCGTGGGCTTCTCGGGCGCCTTGGCCGGTGCCGAGGAGCTGGACGCGGCGTTGTTCGCTCCCGGCGGGGGAGGGGGCTGGAAGGTGATGGGGGGCTGTAGACGGTCACATACCAGGTCAGCAAAAGGATTGCGATATATTGGGAGAAGTAATTCCCGGGCATCATGGGGCATAGTAGCTCCAGCCATGACGTTGTAGCCGGCGCCGCGTATTCGGCACGCCGAGCATTCGTCCGAGATAGGAGTAGAGGTTCCAAACTTACAGCTTCCATCCGTCCTGCAAGAATCCTCTCAGACGTCGCCTGGATATTCCCACCATTCCTCTGCAGATCCCACAGAATCGTCCGCCTGTCCACTTGCGGGAACATCTGCTGTATCCTCTCGACCGCCGCCTCACGGGTGCGCAGCACCGCCGCAGCGCTCTGTCGCGGCGCCGGCGGTGGGGCCGGCGAGAAGAAGAGGAACCGTATCACAAATGCCGTCACCAGCAGTATCATCACCAGGTACGGCAGTGAGATCTGCTCGTTCGCCATAGTTGCGGGTTCGGTGTCTGTGTCGTGCCGGACTGGCCGGTGAAAGTAGTCGGTTTCACGTAAGGTCGAAGTGATTGCGGGCTTTCGCTATCGGAGATGGCGATTGGGAGCTCAAAGTGGTGCACGCCTCATGGAGATTGCAACATTAATAAAGAGAGTCGGAGGAGCGTATCGCCGTTGCGCATGGGATAGGGATGTGGTCGGATTAGATGCGTGGAGTCCCGCTGGAAGCTTTTATGGAGTTGATGAGTTCATCAGCCCTCCTCAGGGAGCAGGGGTTTGGAGCTTATGTGGCGCGAGGTCGGAGTTTCCCGCGCTTTTCCGTGTGAGGAAGTCGAGCACGGACCACCGTAACAACCACTCAAGCTCACCAAGGTACCTTGCCTGTCTTTTGATTATGGGTATCCTCAAAGGTGTAACACAAGAGGAGAAATTCCTTGCTATACCAGGCGCTTCCCGTATAAGAAAGGTGAGGTCACGTATACTTAGAAGCACGGGAACAGAATAAAGTTTTCGTTCGCAGCATCGGCGTCGTCATTTTATTTCCCTTCGTTTGACGGCCGTGGGTAACTCCCATTGATCAGTGATTCATACACACAAAGCAGCGGCAGATATGCAGCGGCTGCCATTTGCCTGGTCAGCTTCATACCGGAAGCTTGTAAAACCATGCCGTATCAACATGACTTAACGCCTGTCGGGTCTCATGCCCAGTGCCCAGGTACCAAGTCGTTTCCAGCCTCGTCAGTAAAACGAGAAAGCCAATGAACCATAACCCCCAATTCAACTATGCAACCGGTTGTACCAGATTCGTCTCCAGGTCACCGTAGTGGAGAGTGAGTTCTCTCTGTATTCCAGGTTAGTCATTTGCACTCGATACCTCGAAGAAAGGAATCCAAGACGTACCCGCTCCTTGCGCCAGTTGGTGGTGTCCCAGACGATGTAGTAGCCGCGTTCATGGTGGGGACCAAGGCTAGCGGGCATCATAAGCTCGTCCTTGGTCAGCCAGAAATGCAGCTTCTTGTGCCAGCGCCAGTTTCGGCTATGCCTAGAAGGTTGTTAGCCGTAATCACCTTAGATGTTAGGAATACCTACAGCTCGACCGCAGCTAATTGCTGCTTGATATCCTGTGTACAGCTATAGAAGATCCAGAACAGGGTCTCTTCGTTGAACGACGGAATCTTGGTGTCAATAGGCTGCACATTAGTCACTTTGTAACACTCAGGAAGCCGGACACTGGGAATCGCAGGACGCGGAGGCGTGTCGTCGAAGAGAGAGTAGATCTGCGTGGAGATGAGACTATCACAGTTAGTTGGCGCTTCTTGATGAAGAGTTAGACTGCTTACTCTGGCGAATTGACGTTGAGTCCGAACTCGTTGGGGTCCATTCCCTGCATCAGGGCGCCATAGCTAGGGTAGTTGTTCATGAGAACACGTAGACCCTTCATGCCGAACTTGTCGATGGGCGCCATTCCTGCTAGAGGGTCCTGCACGTCGGGTGCTTGGCCTTCCTTCTCCTCTTTGGCCTTGCCGTTGCCAGCGACTGCGTCGTTGCCAATGGCTCCAGGGGGGTTTCTGGTCTCTACCAACTGAGACGCGCTGTCGCCACCGATCTCTTCAGAGAAGGAGCCGCCTCTCTCGGCAGATGCCTCTTGTATTCTTGCTTGATCTGTATCGCGTCGGTGAGTGCGTTATCGTCCGATGTGGTGGGTTCGACCTACCTTGCACGCTAGCGATGGAAGGTGAGCGACCATCTGAGGTTCTGCTGTTCGCGGAGAGCGCATTGAGAAGACCATTGCCGGCACCTGCGCTTCGGGCAGGAGGTATCGCGGGGGCTGAGCCACTCGGTTGGCTGCCACCGAATCCCAAAGAGGGCATGAGATTAGCACTTCGCTCACCACCGATTTCGCCGTTCGAGTTTCTGTTCAACGGCGGGAAGTCGTCCACGGGATTGGACTGCGCCTGAGGCGCCGGACCTGCGCTGCTCTGGCCACCGAAGCGAAAGGCGCCTTGACGAGCCGAGGTTGGCGTGAAGAGCTCGTCCTGGCCGCTCTGAGCCGACAGCGGCGTCGACTGCTGGTTGCGCGGCACTGGACCAGCCCCCAGGTTACGCGATGCTGTTGATGACCACATGTTTGATTGTCCGGTGGTGTTCATCTGGGCGTTGTTGGAGAGGGACGGAAATTCGCTACTTCAGAAGTCAGTACCACTATCGTTGCCAGAAATCATGAGCGAAGTAATCGCCCGCGATCGCGACAGATGCAATGATGAGGAAGGAGAGGAAGGGAGTAAACACAAATACGTCTTGAGGACATCCGCATAGCCCTTCTTGGGCTTCTCGCCAGGCGAAGAAGACGACGGTCTACTCATCTTCTCTTGTCTCGCTGCTTCTTTCTTTCGGACCAAGCGTTGCTTTCTGCCCATGATGAAAGGAGGAAGAGAAGAGACAAGGGCTAGAAAGGGCTGAAAAAAGTAGGCAGACTCAAGTGCGGCTGGCCGTGAAGCTTGAAATGCGGCTGGTGCTGCTACTTTGGGAGGTGATCATGGGACAAGTGGCAGGTGGTGGTGCAGGGTAGCCGGTGAAGGAGGAAAGAACGTACGAAAGGTCCAGCGGTGTTGCCGGTTGCGACCCGCTTAAGCTCTGTGCAAAGCTCACATTTCCTCCAAGTTGACGGGCTTGATTTGGCAGACCAGCGCCTCCCATGGGAACTCCTCCTCCAAATGCCCAGCCAGACCCATTACTGCCTGTATATTCCAAGAAATTCCATGTTAACGTCGGGTCTTCCTGCTTACGCCCCTCTTGTATACAATCACACCACACATATGGAGACAGAGCTGAGTGTCCCTACCTATTTTGCCATTCGGTAACCTGTTTGATACTGCTCTCCCAGCTTGTTGTTGCTGCTGCTGCTGTTGCTGCTGCTGGCCACCAAAACCTGCCGGTATGCCACGCAGTGATTGAGGAGCTACTCCTACTGGTTGCGCCCATTGTCAGCTTGGAGGTCTTGAAGAGTGTCTGTCGCCTGAGATTAACGAAGGTCGAAACCGTCGTGTACAAGACTAGCGTGTGTATAAGAAGCCCCTTCTTGTTTATCCCAAGGCCGTATCTACGTCGAGGTGAACCAGCGCTAGATCTCGAGGATGAGGGCTTCACGTCGGCGCTAACAGTGGCAACTGTCTACTGAGTGCATCATCGGTGGCGTGACGTTTCGCGTGCATGCGTTCGATGCTCCTCAGGTTTACTCGACGATATAGAGGCGCGGCGACCACAATTGAGAGGTGCGACGAGATCCAAGTGGCCTTGATGGACATGCAAACGGCGGGGTACCCCGAGGCTGAAAGGGGACGACTAGAGGGTCAGGCCTACCTGGTCGGTTCATGATGAAGGCTCGGGAAATATACGGTCGCTATCGGGAGTCGCGTTGTATGGTTCGTCGTCGCGTGGGGTTCGGGGGTCAATTAGGATGCGTTCGTGGTCGAGATGGCTTGAAAGATTATTCTGGCTCTGAAGCTTGCGCACGAAGGAAGCTCTATGCGGATTCCTGGCGTACAGTGTACAGACGTCGAAGCCCAGCCAACACTAACGCACGGAGGACCGGTCAAAGATGGATCCGATGGCCTGTGCGCCCAGAGCCCCTCCAAAAAACCCCTGCATCGGTGCGAACACGCGCTACTGCCGTACATGTGCCTGGGGCCTTTTTTTGACATCATCTCCTTTCCGACACATGAGATGGCAGCTCCGAGCATGCGTTGATTTAATGCTTTCCACCAGCCGAGGCACTCGCTCTCTCGCTGAAGAGCTGCTTCCCCTGTTGTTCTTGAAGTTTCTTTCCTGCAAACCTTGCGGTCAATGTCTCAATGATCATGTGCACATAATAACGCGATGTGTCTCAGAATTTCTATTCATACGCTCGAGTTGATTGTATCTACCAAGCTCTTCTCGAAGTTGACGCCCTTGAGGTGCCTTCCAATGAGAATGATCTTACCTTCCTGAGCTTGCGCAGCCTCGCGCGATTGGTCAGGCGAGTCAAGAATCTCGAATATCTCCCTCACACCCTGGATGAGTTTGACATCGCCGTTATCAAAGATGAGCCGACCCTTTGACCGATGAACTTCAAGTGTCATCTTCTCGTTCCCAGGAAGCTTACGGTCCCAGAGGATCTTTCTCAACCACCAATCAATATTCTTCAACTGCGAAGGTGCCAACTTTGGCACGGGTATCGAGACGGTCGAAATGGTCTACACTTGATCAGCAAAAGAGACTTGTTGCGACTTTCGTGGTATCACTTACCGGATCTAGATGACTGTGGCCCTTTTGGCTGGTATCAAGCTCCGTGACCTGGTCATAGGCATGCAGATCCAGCAAGAACCCTTCCAGTTTCGGCACCTCACTCTGCTTGGTGACGTGGATCTTGGCGAGTCCATTGATAGACTCTATCCTCGACCTGACCTGCACCAACTCTTCTTCGGAAACCAGATCCGACTTGTTGATGACGATGACATCGGCATGCGAGATCTGGACGTGCGCCGTTGTCATGAGCGGACCGTGACTGTGGCCGTCATCCTCTTTGTGATCCTCGTCGATCTCAATCTTGCCGGCGGGATCGTCGAGACTGCGAAGGATATTCTTCGCATCTACCAGAGTCACGATACCGTCCAAGTAGATTGTGCTCCCCAGGCCATCGTCGACCCAGAATAGTGGCGCAAGGTTGCCAGGGTCGGCAAGGCCTGTGGTCTCTAGCAAAATGTAATCGAACGCACCCTTCTTCTCCATGAGCGACTCAATGGCGTTGACACCAGTGTCCCTGGACGTGTTAACACGGATATGATCAGTTGTGAGGGTGTCTCCTACTTCACGGAACAACATATGCAGCCGTTGCCGACTTCAAGCCACTCCTCAACTTGCTCATCGCCTTTGTTGACAGTGAGCGACTTTTCAATGTCGAGCGCTGAAAAGTGTCAGTGAGTTCCACTATATGATTACACCACAGAAAGCTTACAGTCGCCAAACTCTGTGATTAATGTTAGTATAAAAACTAGGATGAAATTCATTCATGCGATTGGCATACCGTTCATAATCACTGCAATCTTCTTTCCATGCTGCGCCGTCAAGATGTAGTTGAGGAGAGTCGTCTTTCCAGCACCAAGATATCCGGTCACGATGGTGATCGGGACCTTGATCTGGCTCTCCGATGGTGGCAGGTCATCCTCAGGGACAGTTCCGGCCTCTACCAGATCAGGCGGGGCATCATCGTCGAAATCCATGCTGGGATGGAGGGGAACCCTGCTAGAGAGCTCAGACCAGTTCTTTACAGCTTCAAAAGTCGAATGCAAAGAAGCTGCGAGTACCTTGTAGATAAGTGGATTTTGTTGGTCTCGAGAAAAAGCTGCAGAGTCGAGAGAGTTCTCTATGAAGAATATGCCCTTCAACTGACTTGTCAAGCGAAGAAAGTTCCCCAGGCGAGAAGGAAGTAGTATTCAAGGCAAGGGTACGTACCTATTTGACGTCGTCGGGTCCCACACACCGGCACTCGCCCAAAAAATAAAGAAGGGACACACGACGACGGCTGGGGATGTTTTCCTGACTAAGCCGAGCTGGGTGTACCGGGGTTGCGAAAGCAGCGACACGGCAGAACGAACCAGGAGCTCTGGCCCCCAAAGCGCTTCCATTCGATGTGGGTGACCTGGAGCTCTTGATTAGCCGCCCGAACAACGACTTTTCGCCCAGCTTTGACAAACTCAACCCATCCACGACATACCAACCCATCTACGACGCTTCGTGTGACCGCGACTTCTGGAGGCGAAAGGGGGAATCATTAAAGGACTCGAACCGCGGTTGCAGAACACTTCTCCAGTCGCTCGTTTCCTCTGCATCCTTCCCATCCCGAAGATAACTCTCCCACACCACAACCACTCGATCGACTCTTTGCACAATGGCAATGGCGCCGAGCTCGCCCCGGCTGCCCAGTCCGCCGCCGCCTGCTGAGATCCAAATCGGCCGCAAATCACCTTCGATGGGCGCGCAATCGAACCGTGAGGCCTCGCCGATGGAGCAGTCTCTCATCGAAGCCAACTCGAGGCGTCGCATACACCCGGGCACAAAGGCCGCCGACATGGCTGCTGGACCGCCGCTTATCCCCCTTAATGAGGTTCGTAGCAACGCAACACCGTGAACAGTGAAATACAATTTATGATCCTGCCACTCACACGACCTTTTTGTATAGCTCGACTCGGCCTTCCAGCTCCAAGAGCACCTCGCCGCCCTCCACTACCACCACACCAAGAGCAACAGCGTCCCGATAACCCGTACGACCGCAATCCAACTCGCGACGCCCCCGCCGGGCATCGACCGCACCCTCTGGCTGTATGAACTGTGCCGCTTCCTCATCTCGCAGTGCAACACCCTCATCGTCGGCTTCCTCTTCGACTCCCCGCCCTGCAGCGCCGCGACGTGTCCCGAGATGCGCGCATCAGAGTGGCAGTTTCTCTGCGCCGTCCACGAGCAGCCCAAGAGCTGCTGCGCCATCGACTACTGCTGTCACACGCTCGACTGGGCCGCCAACATCGTTACGGACCCCAAAATCTTCCCCTCGCGCTTCGTCGTCCTCTCCGACGTCCACAACAAAGGCGTCGCCGTCAAGAACCTCGTCAACGTCTTCCGCCGCCTGCATCGCATCTTTGCGCACGCCTGGTTCCAGCACCGCGCCGTTTTCTGGACCATTGAGGGCCAGACTGGGCTGTACGTCTTCTTCAAGACCGTCTGCGACATGTACGACCTCCTCCCCGCCGAGAACTACAAGCTCCCGCCCGAGGCAGAGGGTCTGGAGACGGCAACGGCGGTGCCTGACGCCAACGGCGGCGATAAGAAGCAGCTTCCAATGTCTATTGTGAAGCCCAGCCACCGTGAGAGCCTCGGTCAGGGCGAAGACGACAACTTCCAGCCTGTTGGCCGCACTGCTACGAGACGTCACGTCAGGGCGAGCCCCTCTGTTGGTAGTTCTGTAACCACGGTGGTGGAGGCTGACGAAGAAGATAACGTTGTAACAAATAAATTGCGGGAGATGAGAATCTCTGCCCCTGAGACGCTCGAGGAGGAGCCCGAAGTGGCCGACGTGCCGGTGATTGTTGAAAAGGAGATTATCGGGGATGCATCGCCCACAGAAGAAAAGGAAGAGGCCGCTGCGGCGGAGCCTCAAGTGGTTGAAACCGACTACTCTGACACAGAATCCGATGCGGAAACAACATTGGTCTACGAAGAAAGCGAGCGCGGCATGGCCTCCGTAAACCAAGAGCCAGATGGAACCTGGAGGGAGGATGAGGATGAGGACATTTCTGCATCAAGAAGCGAAGCAGCAGCAGAAGAAGGGGCGGACGAAACCAAAGAGGCCGATGACCAGACGGCTGACGAGAACCCCACTGCAGCCAAGGACGATGAGTCTGGCGAGCTTGCAGACGTCAGCACCCATGACTTTGCTCAGGAGTCACCTGCTGTCAAAGCAGACGAGACTACAACGACAACAGACGCTGTGGACGCCGACAGCAAGGCCGAAGAAGCCGACAAGGTGGAAACGGAACCTGAACCTGAGGCGAAAGAGGAGAAGGCGGAGAAGGAGGACGACAAGGAGAAGGAGACATGACAGAGGGAGAGGGAAGTTTAATGACTTTGCGTATTGATGAAAGTTCAAGCTACAGACTTGTTGCCTATCCGTCATACCAGTGGTGGTGGTTCTGATACTGGTAGACCTTTTTTCTTTTCCCTATTATTGTAATGAGATGAGGTCCACGTATGTATAGTATTCTTCTTCTTTTGGGATTTTCTCTTTTAAAAATATCTCGTGATGTTTTTTTTTGTTTGGAAAACGCATCACTAGGTGTGTGTATAAATAGGAAGAGAAACAAGTTTTCACACAGATCTATGTCTAACAAGGTAGATAGATGGTGGTGTGCCGAAGCCAAAGTAATATGTGTGATGATGAAGAAACAGAAGAAAAAAATGTCCAAGAAGATGTAGTTACAGAAATATAATACATTAATCCTCCTACCAAGGTGCAGAGGGAGGGATCCTGCTTTACCGAATAATCGGATGGGAACAAAAAAGGGGGGAAGGGAAATGGAAGCAAAAAAATGACCCAACGCCAAAATGCGTATGGCTTTGCCTGGGGGTATGGCGAAGCCTCTATGGGTTTATAGATGTAGCCCTCTAAATAGGGGGGAGAAGAAAGATGCCGCCCGATGGGTAAGAAGTTTTTTTGTTTCGGAAAATGCGTGCGTCCTACACGGCTTTTGTTTTGACCCGTCCACCAATGCTCGAAGCCTTTTTCGTTTCTCTTGTATTCCTCCTTTTGTCCGCTCCCAACGTGCGAGCTTCCAATCGACCCTCCACTCTATCTCCCATGATATTCAGCGTATGCTGTCCGACTTTTCAGCTACGCCTTCCTCGATTCGTGTATACCGACCGGTTCGACCAAGACTGCCCCTCTGAATTTTATTTTGACCATGACATTTCGTCTCTCAAGTTCTCGAAATTCCCCCATCCTCCCTAACCCCCCTTTCGAATAGTTCGTCTGTAACGTGATCTATGCCGCTCGTGTTGTGTTCTCCTCCGCCATCTGCATCTTTGCAAAAATGTGTCTGACTTCTCGAAGGTTCTCCGCCTGTGCGGATGCGGCGTTGGCGTTACGTTCATCGGCAAAGGTCCGTACGTCTTGCAGGATCCGGCTGTAGCCCTCGTCGTTGGGCAGCCACCAGCGCACGCAGCTGGGCTCGTGGAACATTTCAGCCATTTTGGCGCGGAGTGATATTGGGTGTATGTATCTGGTAAGTTTCCATCAAACGTCAGTGTCTCCGTCGTGGGCGAGGTAAAGAAAAAAGAAACAGAAAAAATGCAGCCAGTAACGTCACTTACCCCTTAGTCTCTAGCAAAGCAAACTTGTTCCGAATCCAGTTGTGATGTTTGGCATCCTGCGGTAAGAACAGCGCCGACAGGGCAATACAGGCCTGGATCAGGATCAAACTGCCCCTCGGGCTTGACGGCCACCTCTCGACAGCCTCAAATATTTGGCAGATGGCGTAGGCGTGGCCTCTGAGCTCGCCGTATAGGTGCTCTCGCTGCGTCGTCGAAGACTGGCACTTGTGCATCATCATGGTAGAGTTGAACTCGCTGGTAAGCAGCGTCGTGGAGAATATCGGGAAATCGTACAGGACTCCTGTGATGAACGGGTCGACGATATCGTCATCGCCCAAGGGGCTCGCGTGGCTAAAGTCCGTGACAAAATAAGCAGGGTCAGTAAGTGCGTGATCCCATCCGTCTTTCCAGCCCTGTAGCGAGTTTTGCAGTCGTTCGTGCTCTGTCGCGAAATCTTCCGGTGTGATTTGGCCTCTGCTACCTCGGGCGAAGAGGGTCGACATTTCTCTCGAAATCACCCGCAGGCGACCTGACTCCGCTTCCAGTTTCCAGTGTAGACTGTCTGCTTCGTCCGAAATGGCTTGTTGGTCGCAGTATTCTACGAACGTTGTGAACCACTCAGGGGCTAACATCGTGGGGAAGCCGCCCATCATAGCGATGAAGATGTCGAAACGTCCATACCAGGAGACAATCATTCTGCCTAGAGGGCTCTGCGTGGCCGTCTCAGGTGTGAACAAGTGTGTTAGCATCTCGAATGCAGCCTTTTGATGCCCCATGAGGTTGATCCAGTCGCCCAGGTACTCCTACATCTTCGATTAGCCACATTTTGCTATCCGAATGTTTCTGGGGGCTTCCGTACCTCGATCGTGGCAAGCTGAAGGACAGTCAATAACATAGCAACGTTGTGCTTTTCCTTCCTCTTCAGAGAGTTGAGCAACAGGATAACACTCTTGTTGTAGTATTTCAGAAACTCTTCCATCTTGCCGTTGGGATCTTGTATTGTACGTTGGTAAGCTGCGAAGCCCACGACTGCGTACAACAGAGCCTCGTTCTGCAACGCAAAATTCGGCAGAATCACGCGAAAGAACTCGTGTGCGTCAGTGAGCATGCAGTAATGATAGTGAGTAACGTTTTCGCAAAAGTATTCCAGATGCTGCCGGAGGTCGGGGGGTAAATGTGACCAGTCGGCGTGACCACCCAGGGACAAGATTGCAAGATCTGGCATCGTATAGGCGGTTGTTGTTTGGCTACTCGCAGTAGATGTAGAAGGCGAGGCGCTCTTAGTCCCCTCGTGTGACGGCGTCTCGGAGCCGTGCCGTGTACCTCCCGTACGTTGCAAGTTGAAGGAAGAAGCTGTGCTGCTTCTACTCGGCCCAGAAAACTGTCTCTGAAAAGACTCTTCCTCTCCTTCGTCCTCATCAAGAATGGTGTCTAGACCGGCAGGCTCCGTGTCGTCCTCCCCGTCTTCAGCATCGTTGGAAGAGTCCGGGCTGGCTTGCTGTTGAGTAGAAGTCCCATCCTTGGACGAGGATCCCTGGGCTGGAGACCCCTTGGTTGCTGGCGGCTCTGGATAGATACATTCAC